CAGAAGGATTCCCTCTACGGCTGAATAACGTGTGTCACATCTGTAACAGCTGAGGGAATTTAGAGTTGCTGAACAAACCTTTGGCTTCTTGTGACTTGCTGTGGTTAAAATACTGAATCATTGCCCAGACTGCTGGCTTTAATTATGTGGACTGGGCACACATATCATGGAAGGAAACATGGAATCTTTCACCATTCAATGCCATAAAACAGGGTGTAAATGAAAAAGTTCAGCCAAGATATGTTTTGATGATTTCACTGGCTTCCAAGGCCAACGGGAAGGAATACCTCTACTGGCCAAATTTGAATGTCCCTCATCTGACCTTAAGTAGTAGTTTCCAAATTATGTGATTAACCTGGAATTCACTGTTCAAGAAGTATTTTAGAATCAAGTTATATATTGTACTCAACAAAGCATTTAACATGGAAAACCAGGCTTCTATTTATTTACCAATAATGTAAGGTTTTAGTTCCACAAATTGTTATCCTCGCACAGAAACACAGAATATAATACTCTACACACAAGATGTAAATGCTGATGTGCACTCCAGAGAGCAATAAAATATTGCAAAAAAAAAAAAAATGCATAGTGTAAAAAATATACAAACTACCGAGAAGATTGCAAATTGCCCACCTTAACAGTACTTTTGTACCTCTATAATATTACAAATAAAAGAAATTATAGTATTGCAGCACATCAATTTCACAATTGAGACAAACTTGAAAATTCATGTTCCACTGTAAAAGTACCCATTAGTTGGTTCAAACTTCCAAAATAGTTCACCATACTGTAAATTAGCAACACGTACATTTTTTATATATTCGCTTCTTTCTTTCTTTATTTCAAATATTGTTCTATTATTACTTTTCATATTGGAAACTACCATGATTTTTAATTCAGCTTTGTGCTAACATTTTACAATTTAAATCTGCATGGTTATAAATTATTTATGTTTTACCTGAATTTTGTTGAAAATGTAAAGAAAATATTTACCACAAAATGCAATATACAGAGATAGTGGAGCACGATGGTTTAAACATGGATTCATGCTTTGTAAATATTGGATTGGATTAAGATAACATCACGATTCAACCATTTCAAATACACACTGCATCACATACCGCAAGCGGGCCCATTAAACAATCAATTTATAGGTTAGTCTCCCTAGATAAAGATGATTTAGTGATGTTTTCCTTTATTTAGCCCTGCTACATCCCCTCTACCTACGAATCCTTATTCACTCACATACTTTACATTTTTGAAACATGGAAACCTTCCGTTGTAAATATTTATTAGTATGACATCTGGTGTGTAGCCTGTGCATTCAGCTGTATACATAATATACATTACTTTGCATCTACCTCTACTGTTGTTAATAGACAGATATTAACCTGACATATTCCTGCTGTTCGTTATTCTTGTCCGATAAATATTTAATATACTAATGGCCTTGAGGCTTTTTTTTTTTTTTTTAGCAATGAATACTTGAATATTTAAGAAAGGAAAGGGAGGTTTAGATTTATTCATTATATGAGTTGTCATACAATGTGAATGCTGTTTTTTCCCCCCCTAAACAGCATAACAACATTAATTTGTTATATATTTGTAACAGTTTTTGGACATTCTAAAAATGATGTAATTAATAAAAGTTGTGAGACAGAGAGAAGGGAGAAATATTTTAGATTAGTGTGGAATCATATAATTGGGTATACAGCAGCAGGGCCGCCATCAGGGAATGAAAACCATAATGGTTGTCATGGGCCCGGCGGTCCTGGGGGGACCGGACTGCTCAGGTCGTCCAGGCCCCACCTTCAGTGGGTACATACCGAGTCGCAGGGGGCCCTGCGACCCCGGTATGTACCCACTGGGCCAGCCTCTTCTCTTGGGGGGCCCAGAAGCCGGTCACCTCGGGGCCCCCCAGAGGCTGGCCCTGCTGACAACCGGCGCTGATGACAACGTCATCTTCCGGCGCTGGCATCAGTACGCGGCACGTGAGGGAGCTGAAGAGGAAGCACACAGAGGAGAGTGCTCCTTCGCGTGCCCGCCGGGTGTCAGGGGGAGAGGAAGGAAATTTGAGGGGGGAGAAGAAGGAAATTTGAGGGAGGGGAGAAGAAGGAAATTTGAAGGGGGCAGGAAGAGGAAGGAAATTTTGAGGGGGGAGGGAGAGGAAGGAAATTTAAGGGAGGGGGGGGAGAGGAAGGAATCGAGGGAGGGGGGGAGAGGAAGGAAATTTGAGGAGTGGGGGGGAGGAGGAAGGAAATTTGAGGGAGGGGGGAGGAGGAAGGAAATTTGAGGGGAGGGAGGAAGGAAATCTGAGGAGGAGAGGGAAGGAAATTTGACAGTGGGGATAAAGAAATTTGAGGGGGGGGAGAGGAAGGAAATTTGAGGCAGGGAGAGAGGAAGGAAATTTGAGGGAGGGAGAGAGGAAGGAAATTTGATGACGGGGAGAGGAAGGAAATTTGAGGGACGGGGGGAGAGGAAGGAAATTTGAGGGACGGGGGAGAGGAAGGAAATTGGAGGGGAGAAGGAAGGAAATTGGAGGGGGGAGAAGGAAATGAGAGGGAGGGGGAGAAGAAGGAAATTGGAGGGGGGGAGAAGGAAATTGGAGCGGGAGGGGGAGAAGAAGGAAATTGGAGGGGGGGGGGAGGAAGGAAATTGACAGGGGGGAGGAAGGAAATTTGAGGGGGGGGAGAGGAAGGAAATTTGAGGGGGGGAGAGGAAGGAAATTTGAGGTGGGGAGAGGAAGGAAGGAAATTATAGGGGGGGAGAAGGAAGGAAATGAGAGGTAGGGGGAGAAGAAGGAAATTGGAGGGGGGGAGAAGGCAATGCGAGGGAGGGGAAGAAGAAGGAAATTGGAGAGAGGGGGGGGAAGGAAATTGACGGGGGTAGGGGGAGAGATTGATATCCATCACACACACACAATGCACCCCTTGCACACAGAAAAACACAAAATGCATTACACACAGACACACCTACACAAGCAATGCATCCCTTACACACAGCAACACACAATGCACCCCTTACACACACTCAGTGCATCCCTTACAGATGCACACATTGCATCCCATACATACACAAACTCACCTTGCAGCCCTTACACATACAAACACAGATTCACACAATGCATTCCTTACACACATCAGGACATCCCCCCACACACACACCCCTGTGAACAAACTCATTGGTGGAACATGAAGGTGGACCCTGGGACCCAGACCTTGAGCTGTGTAAAGGGCCCTCAAAAAAATGGAGCTGCTTCCCGTTCTCCCAGAACATTGATTTTTGTGACCACAGTTACAAACCGCCTCCAGAGAGCCTGTTCTACACCAGATCAGTGGAGCCAGACGGCAGCTAGAGCCCATCATCATCCTCATCTGGTTGTAAGTAAGCAATCTAGTATATTATTCGTGGCATTAATCTCTAATTTACCTCACATTAAAGGGACACTATAGTCCCCAGAACCACTGCAGCTTAATGTAGTGGTTCTGGTGTCTATAGCCTGTCCCTGCAGGCCTTTTATTGTAAACACGGCGGCACTGCAGCACTGTGTTAGTTAACATGGTAGATCGTATGGGTGGGGTATTGTGATGTCACATGGGGGGCGGTAAACTTTACTTTTGCCTAGGGCGGCAAAAATCCTTGCACCGGCCCTGCAGACACTGCATCCCTGTGGGCGGACTCGGGGTGGGGGGGGGGCGGACTCGGGTGCAGGCACCGGGGGGGCCCAGACCTTGAGCTGTGTCAGGGGCCCCAAAATTTCTCATGCCAGCCCTGGAATCAAACAACAGATCCTGTCACTTCCTGATTTGTATAGCTCAGTGAAGCTAAAGACTCAAGAGGCAGGAAATTGCTCAGACAGCCTGCCTTGCAAAGACTTCTCACTGAGCTCTATTGGGAGTCTGTGATTGGACAGCCACAGAAAGTCTGGGCTGCAGAAAAAAGGGAGGGCTTGCAAAGGCTGCAGACAAGAACCTTGCAGCTTTTGCAAGCTGCTTTTAGCTATACCTCTATATAAATATGCATAATTAAATACATGCATGTTTTTATTGGGGAATATCTACTAGAAAGTTATTTATTTATTAGGTTTGGGCAGTGGAGAGTATATGTGAACAAAAGTATATTTTAGAATTGTCCCTGCAGCTTGTATGAAATTATGTTCGAGCATTTTGACAAAAACAAAGGCTCTCCCAAGATCCTACAGCCCAGATAACGCATGCTCATATTATGCACTTAAAGCTGTCCAACTCTGTACAACAATAAGAAGCTGCAAGTAATGGGCTAACTTGTCCCCGCGCTTACCTATCAATGCCATTCAAAAGGAAATCAGTTTGGGCAGATAGCATGGAACATTAACAGAACTGCAGCAAAGAGGCTAGGTTAGGTGCCCATAGAGTCTTTACACCACAACCACTACAATGATCTATAGAGGTTTTGGTGCACAGAGTGCCCCTTTAACCAACTAAACTTCGGAGCATCTGGTTTTTGATCTCAGATCTGTGCAGTGTTTTTCTTCCTAAACAAATTGAGTTTTAGGGTTTTTGTTATTTATTTAAAAAAAAAAAAAGCTTTCTGCAGGAAAGAAACCCCATAGAAAAGCATTGTATAATGCTTTCCTATGAAGGAAGTCCTAATGTGAGCGTGGCATGATTTGGTTGTGGCTGATGCCAGGTAATTATGACATCTGAATGATTTATTGAGATATGTAAGTTTCCAGCTAACAACCTGAAATCTTTGAATCCACCCACACAAATTAAAATTCAAGTCCAGTTTGGTTTTTGATAAATGTCTATATTCTTCTACTTTAAAATGAAATGAGAGTATTTTTGCATGCAGAGGACTGCTCCAATGTGAATTTATACATTTCATTATGCATCTGCATTTCTTTTAGAAAGTATCCTGATTGCAATGTGTGGTCAGATTTGAAAACACTACTGTTCTCAAAAGAACAAAACCACAAAACAAAAACAACAAAACACAACTACTACAGCCAAAACAACTGCATAGTTGGTCAGTTCATTTATTTATAACGTGTTTTGGCAGAAGAATACATTGAGATTTTGTTTTTATTTGACTTATTTTACAAATCTACCCAAATTGTTTGCAATTATCCAGCTTAAAAAAAAAAAAAATTATATATATATATAAACAATGTTAACTATCTCAAACCATGTCTGAGGCACATTAGCAGGATAATGTCCTGGCTTGGGTTTTTCTGGCCAAGTTTCAAGAGTAAAACAATCCGTGTATTTTATCTAGTATATATGACTGAAGATTTTCTAAGTTACTATTAAATGACTTTATACAATTCTTTCCCTATTAGTTCATAAAATCAATAAAAAAATATCTCATTCAAACTTGGCGGATCAATTATTGTTGATGTGAACTGTTACCCTTCAAGTATCAGAAAAGAACTGCAATATTTGCTACTCAGAGTTTACTCAGGGTTAGTCATGCTGTCAGATAGCGATAAAGTCAACCTTTGACTCTTACACTGAATATAACAGACAGTTGTCAATTGCATCTGCTTTACAATAAGCAAAGCAACCTGACTTATGTTTTTTCATCACCTGTGCAGTATCTCAATTATTATGATATAGTTGCCAATGGTCAACAAATTAGCTCAGTCAATACCATGTTTTGGGCACTTGTCCCAGGAAAAATAAGTCCCAGAACCTGTCCCACATTCCAGGGATGGAACTAGTAGTCATCCCAGCCAGAGTAGTCACCCCAGGGCCAACAGGAAGGTGGCTAGAAACATACATTTTCTTTATTTTGGTGTGTGTATCTGTGAGATTGTGTGTCACTTTATCAGTGTGTGTGTGTGTCATTGTGCGTGTATCTCTTTGATTCATGTGGGTGTCTGTGTACATACTTGCCACAAGTGTCCCTGGAAAAAAAAAATATTTTTCAGATGTTAGTTACTATGCCAACAAGACTATAGAACACAAATATAGAAAAGCATGAGTACATTAGAACAAGAGAGGACATTTGGAGAACAATGACTTCTCCTTTACTTATTCACTTTGAAGGCATGGTCTCTAATGGATCAGATAAGTGATCCATAAACATAACAGTTATTCGTAGATTTAAAAAACCCTGACATTACTTTCACAATTCCTGGTGTGATATCAATAAAAGTGTTAGGTTCTTTCCATATTTTAATTCACATTATTTCTCTATAATAATTTAACTGTTCAGTCATGTTTTCAAACTCCTTTCTCCAATAAACTGTAACTAAAACGCACATATAAGATGCACCCTTTAACCACTTATAAAAACACTGGAGAAAGGGTTCTGAAAAGTGATGGCTAAATCCTATTCGTATTTATTAAAGTGATCTAAAAAGTAATGGCTGTCTTTATGGTAAATTCCACAAGTTTTCACAAATATATCCATTTCTGAAGACCATCAAACCCTGTTAGGAGAGTGGCAGAAAAATAATAATCATAAAACAGTTGAACAGTTGAAAAAACTGTGCATATTCAATTATTCAATAATGCAAAAAAAGCTACATATTTAAAAAAAAACAACAAATTTAATAAACTGCGCCAAAAATGAGACAGACAAATGTCGGCAATTCTTTAATAAATCGCCCCTATTCTTCCTATTACGGTGGTGGAACAATTCATTTTTATGCCTTACCCAATGCATAAGAAAAACGAACTAAAACTCAAACACTGAAAAGACATTCAGCGACAAGTGTTTTAAACTGGAATCAATAAGTGACCTAAAAAAATAAATAGCTATAAAAAGCCTAAATAGAAAGGTCTATTAGATCCAGACCTGGAGACTTCCAGAAGTGTGGTGACAAAAACCTTTAACATGGTTAAGCTGTTGAAGAATGCGCTCTTCCCCTCAACATCCGCTCAAAATAAATCATTTTCAGGACTTTGCTGCTCTGCAGTTTCCGTCCATCTTCTAATAAAACCAGCGAGCTAAACATATTTCACTCTTTAATAGAGCTTTGTCAATTGAGCTTTGTAAAAGCTCTACCAACGAGTGAAAAATGTTTTGCTAACCAGTTTTATGCACACTATGCACATGTCTACTGCAGCTACACCCCTGGTATTTTGAGGTTTACTGCTTTACATCAATGATAAAAGACTGGATTAATAGAGTGGAATGCACTTAATAGAAGAAATACATTTCCCATCTTTGGACAGATACAGATTATACTATATGGTGCAGACAGACTACCTACCTCATAACTTGCTCTTACCCTCCACATGATCATATCCTCCTTCCAGTGGTTCTGGAGAATCCATTATATCTGAACTTCTACACAATATCCATATAGGACTCCAACCAAAAACTCCAGTAAGAATCCTCAGTCAATTCAGACCTTACACTTCTTCGTTTCACCCTACCTACCAAACTCGGTATGTTCCCCACATTTTACTCCCCTTTATCCTATTTATTGAGGAGAAAGGGGACAACGGTAAAATGGAGGGTGCCTGGCATATTACTGGCTTTACATTCTCTGCTTGACGTGCCTAGGTGGGAAGAACACTGGTGTCCATTTCTACAGACCAAACATACAAGGATTGTGTACTCCAGACAGGATCGTTGGTCTTCTCTAAACTTAATTTTGCAGCATATTTATAATCTATGGCATGTCATCCCTGCCTTTTATCTCAAAAGATTGGTGTTTACGGTATCTGCATCTATATCATTGCCATTTGTCACTACTCCTTCCTGTGTGTGCAAGTTAGGTATACTGGTAGCAGTGAAGGGATGTGACATGATAGCCTTTCTGGCACAGGAAGCAGAGGTGAGCTTTGACAGAGGACTCCTCCAGTAGCACAAGAACCATAACCAGGTTATTATTTGAGAGTAGAAATTGGACAGGGAGGATACGAATGGCTTTCAGGATAGTAGAAAGGCGATGAGCATTAAATATAAGATGTGGGAAATAGAAAGATGAAGGCATTGGATATGCATCGATGAGGCAAACAAGTCCATGGAAGTGGAAGAATGAAAGGGAAGATGAAGAGCAAAGGGAAGAGGGATGTTGAAGGAAGATTTAAAAAGTAAGATGAAAAAGAGAAGGAATAGGATTAGTTGGGATTAGAAAGGAAAGATTAGATGAGTTGATTTAAAAGATCTTGGATGAGATGTGTTTAGTAATAGTGAATTGAGACTGGCGTTTGCAAAATTGCACAATTATTCATTTTTATAGGTTACTCCACTTCGGCATCCATGCAAACATATTGCAGCCTACAATAATTGCGCAGCAGTGTTCCATAGCAACATAATGTGAAAAGGCACGCAATTAGAATGATGAAATTAATGTCTTCTCTACACAAGTGATGGCGAGTCAAATGATATTTAAAAATAAATAATAAAATGTTTAATCCAACACTTTACACATGCAGGCCACACTTCACATAATGTACAATACCTACCATTGTCAATTTCTCCTTCTGACGAGGTATCCATGCTATAGCTGTCCCAATTTTGTGCCTGTGTAAGTTTGTTGAAGGAGATAGGAGGAAGAGTGAGGGACGGGTCTGTAGGAGGGGGTGTCAGAGGAGGTCCATATAAAGCAAAAGAGGACCAGAATAAATCAAATTTGAAGCAACAGAAGGTTACAAAAACAGTCAACTCAAACTCAATTCATGCTCTAAGTATGCTAATTAAGAAACATGGATCTAATTGAAGAATGCAAGAAAAATACATTAGTTTCTGCACGATTTGCAGGTTAAACCAGGCAAGCTTAAACAGTACGGAATATTTGATCTAACACAGATGCTTGAGCACTGCAGAAACACAGATTGCTTGACACACTCTTGACAATATGTCTAAAATAAAATAATACATGTTGATAGCTTTCCATCCTGTGATTATCATCAAATAATTTGAAAGTTTAGACATTCAGCAATTTAATTCTCTCCAAGATGTTACTCATAGCTTGGAATATAGAGTGCTTTTCTAGTAATAAGTTATGAGTTGCATCCTATGCCATTGCCTTGGAAATCTCAAACCCGCAAATAATGACATATTATGTAGGTTTTTTTTCCCCTTCTATATCACTGTTCAGTGTTATATATTTTAATTACTTTCCAAAACATGATGCATGTTAAACGTTGTCTTATAAAGGATTTTGCAAAGACCAGTTATTGAAATTGATGCCATTCAAAATCTTGTTTGAAGAAAGCAATGTAATCAAAATAAGTGGGATGTTTTTGAATGTTAATTATTAAGTCAAATCCAGTATAAAAGGTGTGCTTTAGCTGCAATTAAAGGGTCACTCTAGTCACCAGAACTACTACAGCTTAATGTAGTGGTTCTGGTTTCTATAGCCGGTCCCTGCAGGCTTTTCAATATAAATGTTCCCTGAACGTTCTCCATAGAGATGCTGATTGGCGTAATGCAGCGTATTGCCTCACTTGCGCAATAGCCTCCCAATGCTTACCTAGGGATTGGCTGAGATCATAAAGATTCATGATTTCAGCCCTGGTGGCACTGCCAGTTGCGGCGAGACCAGCCCATGTTATGCTATGTTTCAGCATAAATGAAAATCACAGTTGAAAATCACAAGCGCTCCACTCACTTGATTAGTAGAGTACACTAAACTCACTCTGGTTCTATACTATATTTAGTGGGGATAAAAGAGAACCCACTAGAGTGTGTAGCGGCTTTTTGTCACTTAACTACATTTGCAAGTGCACTTTACACAGTAACCACTTATTTGTGCATGTGTATATTTTTGCATATTTATTTTAAATATTTAGAATAAGTAGAGACTGAAGCATGAAATACGAAATATTCTACTACTTCTACTTCTCTCCATGTCATTATCATTTTTGTCCAGTGATCCTGGACCTTCTATCACACCTTGGCCTTTACACATACCATCCATACATGACTCCAATCAAATGTTCAGGTCAATTCAGACCTTTTTACCCTTGAACTACCTCTCCTCACCTAGTCATATATATTTAGGTCTGTTCCTCAAATCCTCATTCCCTTTATCTTATTTGTTTTTTTTACATTTATTGCTGTCTTACAGCAGGCATAAAAAAAAAATTTAAAAAATTGTGTAAAAGTGTTTTTGGTTTTTTTCCATGTTGGACTTCATTGTATTTCTTCTTTAATTACAAACACAAAACACTTTCTAATCAAAATAGTTAAATGTATAAGAATCTCTCTTTTACACTGACAAATACACACATGACTGTAACATGAAATAAACAGATATTAATCAAAAACACACGAATACACCCAAAAGACAAACAAACAGAACATATGTGGGAAACCTCAACTACAGAATTTAACTGAACATTATGAAGCATTATTTTTACAACTCTGTTAAAATGGTCAACACTTGCAGGAAACCATATCAGACAGGAAAGCTTTTTACAACCGAGCTATGCTTTATCAGGAAATAAGGAAATTAACAATGTTTGCAGTTTTGGTAAACCACCGAAACCATCCAATCCTAATATAGTAAACTGCCTGTGATGAGACGGGTCATATAAAATACCCTAAACTTAGAGATTGTCAGTAAAAGCTAATTTTGTGTTGCTTGCCTCGATCAAGATCTTGAGGTGTCAAAACATGAAATTAAATGTGGATTGTATATATTTGTTTATTTCTAGACTGAGGACAGATTCGAGTTTGAAAGAAGCAGTCATCTTTGCTTTGTTGTTTTTCCTATGGGGAATGAAGCAAAGGGCTCTTAACACTTATTGCCAGGAATGTAGACAAACAATGATTAAAAAATTAGCGCTGACAATTAGAATACAACAGCGTGCAATAGTTAATATATTCCTTAACAGTGCACGGTTTTAAATACTACGTACTAAGTCAATGTTGCTGATTTTATTAAATTTAATTTGTATTCATAGTTTTAATGTACAAATGGAGGAATTGATGGAAAACTCCGTAAATTCACAGTTTGAAATGCAATGTATTGCAAATTACGTTTATTTACTGCTCTAACCATGTGAGGCCATAAGGATTTGAAATTAACCAAATATCAGTGTTCCTAGAGGCAATTGTATAATGTAAAGACTTATTCTCAGTCAACATAGTTTAAAGTTATTAAGTTAAAATCCTAAAAAATAAAGAGAAAATAACTACCTGTTAGTTAGATACATTTGCTTTTGGGCTTTCAATCACTGCTGTTTATAGCAGATGATTATGTATTTTTGAATAAGTTACAATACTCACAGAAAACCCAGTGTAAATGATAAGGGCTACCATAATGACATGGTGATGCCATCTTGCACACCACCTCTCAACAGCTTAAAGGAACACTATAGGGTCAGGAACACAAACATGTATTTCTGATCCTATAGTGTTAAACCCACCATTTAGGTGGCTTGACCCCCCCCCACCCCCCACTCTCTCAGCCCCCTTAAAAATAATTAAAACTCATCTTATTTCCAGCACCACACGGGTCCACCGGTGCTGGCCCTACCCCAGATCCACCTCCTTGATGACATCATCAGAATTGCCAATTTTTAGCCAATCCAATCTTTCCCATAGGGAAACATTGGATTGGCTAAAATCAGCAAAGAGGCAGGATGGGGGCAGGGCCAAATGCCATTTTGGCCAATTAGCACTTCTTCATAGAGATGCATAGAATCATGCAGAGCGTGGAGATGCTGAATGGCAGTGCTGCCTACTGTGCAGCACTGGCCTATGAAGCATCTCCAGTGGCCAACTGAGGAGTGGCCACTTGGAGGTGTCCCTAGGGGCATTGTAAACACTGACTTTTCTCTAAAAAGGCAGTGTTTGCATTAAGTTGCCTGAAGGCTATGATTATACTCACCAGAACAACTACATTAAGCTGTAGTTGTTGTGGTGACCATAGTGTCCCTCTAACACAATATTCAGGACCAGATTTGGTCTGTGCCATGCCATCATTCTGTGTGGAAACATCTAAATCGAAAGTTTAATTAATTAGAATACCATGTATTTTAACATTCAAGATGGCAAAAATGCAGAAAAAAATAAGAACACAATAACAAAAAGTGAAATAAATGATCAAATAGTAAATGGAAAATGGCGTTATGAGGAGTAACATATGAATAAATGTAAACGTAACAGTTGGTGGTGCATACTATTCGATATTTACATAAAGAGATTTCTAAAAAGCAATCTTCTTTCACTGCTGCTCTTCAGAGCCTGAGCATACTGAATTTTTTAGTGCTCTGAGCAAGAAGATGCTTCAAAGATGCTTCACTACCCACTAGTAATGTCCTTCTATCATTGTTTTTCTTCTTTACACGGTTATTTTACTAAATGTGAAAGTCATATGGTGGTTCTCAAATCTCTTGACAGTAACTTCCCATAAAATCTGATTAAACTTGGCAATGTAGTACTACACATCTATTACCCATAGAATACACATGCCCCCCCACTGATGGGGACATAAATTCTTTAAAAGTTATCAACGAGACTGCTTTAAATATCTTCTTTCTGCAACAAACATTGTGCTTGTCAAGAATATATAGTGTACTTACAGCTATAAACAAACAGTACTGATAAAGTAAACTGGATTTAGCAATTCTTTGGTGCAAACATATGGGGAAAAGCATATGAAGCAACTCAACGTAATGTTACTTGGACCTCATGGTTCTATGGAATGTGAAGCCATTATTCAGTGATGTGGACTGATTCAACACTAAACAAGACTCCATTCAAGATCAACAAACAATGGAAATGTAGTCATGTGATACAATGAAGGTTCATTCCCAGTAATGGCATGTGCATTGTTGTATTTCCCATCTACAGGTCCATCGTATAAAGATAATGAAGTACCCCAATTAATTATGTAATACCACGTGTTGGCTTTCTTCCATCTATAGTTACCAAAAGGTTATAAAGAAGTCAGTTTGAACATTATGAATTGAATCAACAAAACAGCGCAAGTAATTGAGCGCAAGTATTTCTAATAACTAGAATGTTATCTACTGTAACCGTGTTTTACATTATGAAATTGAATTTTCTTTCATTTAGATTTCGAAGGATCACCTAACATCTTATTCTCCTACTTTTTAAAAGATATTTGGATACAAATGCAGCAATGCGAATTGCATTTATAAAATGCAGTACTTACATTTCTGGAATATTAAAATCACGGTAAAAAAAAAAATTAGGCTTATTCAGATCAGTGACAAAAATTACCAAGATTAAAATAAATAAACAAAACCAATAGTGCTCAGGATTTAAGCAAAATGTAAATAAATAAAAGAATGTGTTTTTTTTTTATTGCCAACATCTTTAAAACCAGTATGCTTTTGGAAAGGCCGTTTTTTGAAAGTGGTTAGTTTCATTATTGGGAAAAAGGGGAAAGAAAAAAAAAAAGACACTGACCGGTGAAATTTTATTGAATGGCTTTCATAGTATAGCATTTGTTCATATCTCAACGTTAGTTACACAAAATCAAATTTAGTGCCTTTTTTTTATTTTTTTTTATTTTTTACAGTTAATATTAAATTCATTTACAACTTTTAATTTGGCAAAAACACTGTTTTCCTTGGTTTAGATAAACATGCATAGCACATCAAGGTCAACTAAAATGAATCTTATCATCAAACCAGTGCAGACAAAATCAAGAAAACTGTGATTGCATGTCATATATATATATAAAAACAAAAGTTTAATTAGCGCTTTGAAAGAAAATAGAGTGAACAAGCAAACCACATATTTGTCACCATGAGATATTTGTAGATTAACCAGCAGTATTTGTAAAAACTTACCAGATCTTGGTTTAAGACCAAAGGCTGCTGAGCTGTGTACTGGAGACATGGTAGGAGTTCCGTCATCATTCTGTGTGCAGAGAAATATATAGGTGAAATCCCTTAAATTAGGAAACTTAAACTGTATGCTATTCATTTAAAATAAGAAGTGTATTAACTTAATATTCAGTTGTCGTAATTAAAAATGAATTTCCATTATAATCATAGTTTGGCTAGGTTAGCCTGGATTTTGCAATTTGTTTTTCAATTCAGTGTTTAGTGAACGACCCCTTAATTGGTTTTATATTTAAGCGCTGCATGCTTTCCTTTACTACCTTTTATGTAATGGAATAATAGTTTTATTGGTAATATAGGGCCCTCTGTTGGACTGCATTTAATCCAGGAAATGGCTATGCCCAAATTATCACTGTTAAGAAAGGATATTCCAGGCACTAAACCAAGGCCTGTTTGGAGATTAATGTGCACTTATTTTTTTAGAATTACATTTTTGTTTCAAATTATTAATTAATATCCCCTACTCGTCTCTCTCCTTATCTGCAGCTGTAGTGTTATCCTTTGAGGTACTCACATTTTTATTTTAGAGAGTTATTATAAGAGCCACATGTGTACACAAGAACTTTATTCATGAACAGCCATGAATAAAGCCAGAGGCCTCTATTACCGCTTTTATTAAATCAGAATTCATCATTTTCATGAACAAAGGATTTTGTGACAGGACTTGCTATTGCAATGCACACCTTTCAGAAAAAAACTGCTTGGCTCCTATTATATTACACAAACAGCCTCACTCATTATTTCATGATTAAAGGTAATTGAAGACTGACTTTTAATGTTCCAGGAGAAGGCATATAGATCTCCATGGAAGCAGCAGAAGTGGTTAAATATTTCTTAGCCATATACCAGGTGCAGAAGGAGGGGAGAGGGAGAGCATGGCTACCTGAACATGCAATTCATGTTTTATTTTGGCCAGCCTGTTTGTTTGTTTTTTTTAACTGGATAAAAAACCTGGGCAGATGCTTCTGAAGCAGTCGTCCACTTATTTTGCTCCCTCAGCCCCTCTCTCTGTGGGTGTAAAAATATTGCTAGGTTAAGATTTGGAACCCCCATCCAATATTTCCAAATATTAGAAGACCAAGTGCTTACAGCAGCCAACCTTTTCACTAGCCTTACCAGCTGACACCGCAAGTGCCAACAGAAAAAGGTCAGAAAATGGCAATTTGATGCATTAGGCAACTTACAGTGCTTTCAGAGTCCCCATAATGCTAGTAGGCTTCAATGTCCAGCAAACTAAAATTGTATGTGAGTGTGAGTCTGCTAGTGAGTGCCTCTGTAGTAAAATTGTGTGTGTGTGTGTGTGAGAGAGAGAGTCCGTGACAATGTGCTTTTTATAGAAAATATGGGCCTCAAGCTGTACGTAATGAGAGATTCTGATAGAAAATGTACCAGAGTCCCAGATAAAATATACAAGTCACAAGAAGCTATATGGCTCAAACAGAGGAGATTGCGGAAAGGGCAATGGTGGACAAAGGTAATTAAACACACTGTCACAAGTCTAAAAAAAAAAGAAGCAATCTATGAAAGTGGCCACCATTATGTATATGAATTATACGGACACTGTCTACAAACGTTTCTGCAAACTTCCCTTTCAAATAGCCCATGTGTCCTCATGTATGTTAAAATGTGATCAATCTATAAACACCACAACTTTAGTCACATTACAAAATGTTATTTTATGGCCCCTATAATTCCATTTACATCTGTGTGTTAATATTTCCTAACACAAAATATTTTGAGATTTGCCAATGAAGTGCTACTTGTGGTGACATGAGAATAAATGTGAGTTTTTAGCTAAATTGTAGATTTTGTCCAACTGCTATTTCACAGCAAGGAAACTCATTGTTGAGTGAATAAAAGCATCACAGATGAATACATAGCTATTTATACAGTATGCTTGGTTTTCATAAGTTCATTTAGGAGAACAATTCATTCCGGGTGCATTATATCAAGCAAAGCACTTTTGAATAGACACTGTACTCATAGTCTAACTCATGGGTCGTCAACCTGGTCCCTACCGCCCACTAGTGGGCGTTTTAGGATTCCAGGTGGGCGGTAGGGATTTCTGAGGCTAAATCCTCTTTTTAAGAGGATTTCTCCTTTTGGGCGGGCGCGAGCGGCTCTGCATGCGCAAGTCTTCAGTGACCGGCAGGAGGAAGCGCTCCCTCCTGCCAGGCCACCTTCTGGACCCCCGGCATGGCAGCGTTCTAATCAGTCGCGGCGAGGGAGCTCTAACCTCTCTGCTCTGCTCCCTCGCGCGATGTTTGCTGATGCCGCGGGAGCTGGAATATGATGTCATATTCCGGCTCCCGGCATCCGTAGACAGTCCGTGAGGGAGCAGAGCAGAGAGGTTAGAGCTCCCTCGCTGCGTCTGATTAGCCGCCCGCCTAAGTGAAGCCCCACTGGACCCCAGGGACAGATCCACACCAGCTCTCCAGGTAGGGAGGCTGGGTGGATATTTAATATTAATAATTTGTGTGTACATGTGTTTGTCTCTAAGTGTATGTGTGTGTGTGTGTACATGTGTTTGTCTCTAAGTGTATGTGTGTGTGTGTGTATGTGTGTGTGTCTGTAAGTGTATGTGTGTGTGTCTGTAAGTGTATGTGTGTGTGTCTGTAAGTGTATGTGTGTGTCTGTGTCTGTAAGTGTATGTGTGTGTCTGTGTCTGTAAGTGTATGTGTGTGTCTGTGTCTGTAAGTGTATGTGTCTGTCTGTAAGTGTATGTGTCTGTCTGTAAGTGTATGTGTCTGTCTGTAAGTGTATGTGTGTGTGTCAGTAAGTGTGTGTGTGTCTGTGGGTCTGTCTGTGCATGTGTGAGTGTCTGTAAGTGCATGTGTGAGTATGTGTATATTTGTGTGTATGTGTTTCAATGTGAGTGTGTGTGTGTGTGTGTATGTGTTTGCCTGTGAGCAGAGTACTTGTAGAATAGAAGAAAGAAGGTGCAGAGTACTTGTAGAATAGGAGAAAGAAGGAGTAGAGTACTTCTAGTATAGGGGAAAGAAGGAGTAGAGTACTTCTAGTATAGGGGAAAGAAGGAGTAGAGTACTTCTAGTATAGGGGAAAGAAGGAGTAGAGTACTTCTAGTATAGAGGAAAGAAGGAGTAGAGTACTTGTAAAAAAGGAGAAGGAAAGAAAAGGAAAAGGAGAGAATTGTTGTTGACTAATAATAGTAAGTGGGCTACCTAGCTCAGCCTTCCTACTGGGCATTGCTATAAGGAAGGTTAAAAAATAGAAAAAAAGGGGAAAAAGGTGGGAAGGGGAATTGAGGAGGGAGAGGAGGGGAGCTGACGCACAGATGAGAAATCATTTTATGAGCAAACAAAGAAGTCTTCCGATTATCACTGAAAGAGGAGACCTTCGTTTGTTCCTTATGAAAATCGAACCAGATATCAAATATTTAGTCTCGCAGCATCAACCTCAAGGATCTCATTAATCACTAGTAAAGGTAAGTTCAATTTACTTTATTGCTTCCTCATTAAACTTTATAAAGTTAAAAACATTATAAACATGCATAAAGTAGAAATAAAAAGATAAATGTACGTTCATTTATGTATTTTTTAAAACACCCTCCTTTCTAAAAAATATTCCGCGCTTGCGCGAAAACTGGTGGGCGGTAAGGAAATTTTTCCATCAAGAAAGATGCATTAGTGGGCGGTAAGTGGAAAAAGGTTGACTACCACTGGTCTAACTCATAGTGTTAAAGGTACAGGCAATGCAAGCTTATTTACTGAACAAAGGAAAAATATAGATGATATTCAGAACTGTTGTATATACACAACACAGAGACACATGCATACAATGTACACAGAAACAAGTAGGGCTCTGGAGTCACAACATCCAAGTGAAAATTCTAATATATGGATATTATATATATACACAGACACACACACACACATTTACACTGTACAATAGCATCCCGTTGAGAGTATCTACAAGTCATTCTTATACAGATGTTTTTGCCTTAAGTATTTGGCTGACTAATTTTATGTTTGATGTACCATGTACTCTTCTGGTCTGGGCAATCACAAGGTACTAGAGAGTGTTTATCTGATTTTAACTCTGGTAAAAACGCTGTCAGCTAGTTGCTGTATTTGAGAGAAATGAAAGTTTGAAAAAAAATAGACCTTTAACACCGGCTTACCCCTATCTAATATTAAGCGGATACTGTATTTAAATATGTTTGCAAAAAGAACTTTATGCAGGATAATACAAGACCCACCTCTTCTTTTTGGGAATTTTGAGAAGGTGAAGTCTCAATGATATGATCATTCTGTGCATCAAAACAAGTATGTTAGTGATTTATAATTTAGAATTAGAGAAAACAGTAAGTATCTAGTAACAATAATTATAGGTGAACAACAAACTAGGGTACTAGTAATGGAAAGGACAATTTCTAACAAAAACATACATTTAATTTGTATATTAACATTCATTTATTAGTCTGCAATACGTTTTACAGCCATATCTACAACTACTAAACTAGATGTCTTCAGTATTAAAAACATGTTTAATTAGCTTCAAGACATGAACTTGTTTTATGGAAATAAATTTACCTGAAAAACTGGAGACATTTGTAGTTGCACCTGTCCACTGAAAAAGAAAAAAAAGACAGTATACCGTAAACTGAGAAATGGTGCTGAATAGTGATGTCCCGAACGGTTCGCCACGAACTCATCATTGAGTAAACTTTGGCCCTGTACCTCACAGTCAGCAGACACATTCCAGCCAATCAGCAGCAGACCCTCCTCCCTCCCAGACCCTCCCGCCTCCTGGACAGCATCCATTTTACATTCATTATGAAGCTGCATTCTTAGTGAGCTGTCCAGGAGGTGGGAGGGTCTGGGAGGGAGGGTCTGCTGCTGATTGGCTGGAATGTGTCTGCTGACTGCGAGGTACAGGGTCAAAGTTTACTCAATGATGAGTCTGTGGCGAAGCGTTCGCGAACCGTTCGGCGAACCATTCGGCGAACCATTCGGGACATCACTAGTGCTGAACTCAAACTTATGTTTAAAATAGTAGAAAAACACACTTTACTGTAGACTTGTTAAGATCAGATATTTCGGTGGTCTGTACATTATACAGGTTTATAGCATCTTCAATTTCCATATTTAACCTGGAAAATGATAAAAGAAAATACATTTAGAAATGTAAGAAGCAATGCTTATAGAAAAAAATACAAATTAGAATGTTTCTAAATTACAAAATCAGATAGAAAAAATTGAGTGACATAAGAATTACCAGATTTATATTAACTACAGTTTTATTTAGAGACATATAGGTTATTCTTGTTGTTGTTAGATAAAGTCATGTTATTAAAGAGTCACTACAGTCACCAAAACCACTTAAGCCAAAAATAGTGGTTCTGGTGTCTATAGCCTGTTTCTGCAGAATCATCACTGTAAACATTGCCTTTTCAGAGAAAAAGCAGTGTTTTCAATGATAAGTCCACCTCTAGTGGCTGTCACTCAGACAACCACTAAAGGGACTTCCTGAACAAGATCCTGATGATCTCAGCCAAGAAGGTGAGGTGGCCTGAGTAAAACCAATTGTGGATAGTTTGACAAACATTTGGCTCTCAGGGCAACTGAAGGCCAGACTCTTTGCTGTAAGTTGGCTAACTCACTAATACAAAAGGACAACAAAATTGTAAAACAGATAATCAAATACAAGTCAAATCACTATATAAGAAAAAAATAGAAAATGAACAGAACTAAGGGAATCTAAGGGAAACAAAAATCATGGCAGAGCAATGAACTATCTGAGCATTGGCTAGTGAATGTTATGTAACTTAAATAATGCGCAGTCGAAGGTGCATAAAATGACATGTGGCATCAGAAAAACCGTGGAGTAGAACAATGAAAAACAAACTCTCACATAACCACTAAAATGAAACCGCAACAGGGCACATTATAACAGTTACTGAGGGTATATTTAGCTTTAAGTGGCCAGAGGTTGGTTGATTTGGCCCCTATGACATCATGACGTGCATGTGGGTTATTGGCGCGATGATGCATGCAGATCTGCATCATCAACCTGGTCTGAGAAGGTGGAGCAATAAAAAGGCTCAGATATGCAGTGGCTGGCATCGGACAAGACGTCAGAAGGAGGAGTGCTCTCATTGGGAAAAGGATGGAGGTGGTACTTGCAGTAAGTACACCAAGTGCATAGGGACACACCTCCGATACTGGTGCCGGGCCAGTGCCGTGACAATGCTGAATAATCAAGAGGATCAAATCCTTTTTTTTAATGCTGAAACAAAAGCAGAGCAGTTAGGTATTTTAATTTTTTTGTTTACCAGACGGTATAGCCCAGGCTAAGGCTCTCTCAGTCAAGAATGTAACAATGTATCCACCCCTTACGCAAATAGATAAGAATGTGGAAAAGTGGGGAAAGTTCAAGTGCATCCTTACTTGGTTTGGGAAACCAGATCAATAATCATAAGGGCATCCGTATGCACAAATTACACAAGAACCCAGCCTGCTTCTGGAATTACCCAAATAAGAAGACCGAAAGCTACAGTGAGCAGTTTGTGTTGTAGTGTGACTGAGCAGGATCCAAACAGTTTGATCAAACAGGTCCATCCTATGATTCAAGTCTCCCAAGACCAGTAGCTTTGCCAACTGCTGACTTAAAATTGCAGGGTCCATGGCCCTAGACTAGTGTAATGTTGAGACAAAGAACTGATCCATCACTATCTAAGCAGCATCTGGTGTGCTGCTAATGATACATCAGAAGGCTGGAACCATGCCAATACACACAGACAAACAATTTTAAAGTCATGAACATTTTTACATGCGTATACCTTACCTTGTGGGATCTTGCAACATATCAACTGCCTCTCTTAACTGTTCTATCATTGGTGTGTTGAGGTCTTCACTTTCAGAAGTATTTTTTCTGAAAAGAAAATAACAGAACTTTAAGAATTATGTAAATATCTAATTTAAAACTAGGGTGGGCTAGCAGACATATATACTAGATAAAACCCAAACACACATTTTCTTTAATAATAAGGAGACTTTAGATACAATATGTATCTACGTCAGTATGCAAAGCTTATTACGTTAGATTTGTGTAAAGGTAGTCCCCATTTTTACTTTTGATTTGTTAGAATACAAACATTTAATTTCCTCAACAATTTCTTCATACTCCATGCACTTCCATCAGCCCTACCATCTAACTGACCCCTTAGTCACCCCCATATGTCCCTAAGCCCCCCATATTACCTATTTTTTATTCTTTATTTTCTGCCCCGATCTATATTCAGGGCACCGCCATCTTTGTGTGGGTAGAGGAAGTCCCTGTGGGACACGTCATCTGCCCACACTAGATAGCGCTGTGAGATTCCCGCACATGCCCAGTGAAACACTTGGACATGCGAACGTGAATTTCATCTATTCATTAATTCGTCAGAAAGCTGAATGAATTGAAATGTCAGATGAACAAACTAACACTGTGTATCAGTGTTCGTTTGGTTTATAACAAGGAGGGCGCTACCGGCATGCAGCTCCTTGTAATATGTAAAGATAGAAGCAGCAGGTAGCAGAGCTCCCCAACACTTCATAAGCCCCCCAGGTCCCCCCCTCACTCTATGGGGGTCAATATGACTCTATGGGGGTCAATAGCATAAGGGGGATTAAAATCTCCCCAATGCCCCTACTCGCTATACCGCGAGTAGGGGCATGTCCACTAAACAGTGAGCAACCTGTGATTGCTCACAGTTTAAAAAATACCACTACTATCCAGCCCCCACCTGCCTAAATAACAATAAGGGGGGACCTACTGTCCTCCCCCCACAGGCCCCCACCCCTGCGTGGTGGGTGGGGGCCATAAATTACAATGGGGGGAACCTACTATCCTCCCCCCCCGGCCCCCACCCTTGAGCGGTGGGTGGGGGCCATATATTACAATGGGGGGGGACCTACTGTCCTCCCCCCACCCCTGCGCGGTGGGTGGGGGCCATAAATTACAATGGGGGGGACCTACTGTCCTCCCCCACCGCCCTCCCCCCCCATCAAAGGTGACTAAGGGTCCCCAAGCCCCTAGTCACCCAGTACCCCCACCCAAAAAAGAAGTAACCCCCTACCTACCCCCCAAACCCTAAAAAATAGTGAGGGGGAATAAAATAACTAACCTGTAAAGAAAAATTAAACTTACCATTTGACGACATCTTTTTTCTAAAATCTTCATTTTTCAGCCCCAAAAAAGGCCAAATAAAAAACCTGAGCAGAAAAAAAAAAAAAAAACAGACTAAAAAGAAAAAAACGAGCGCCAAAAAAAAATCCATCTTCACCCATGGAGGGCTCTACGCAGACTGAGCTCTGCAGGGCGGGGGAAGGCTTATAAAGCCTTGCCCCACCCAGCAATTAGGCTAAGAACACCCTGATTGGCTGGTTTAAGCCAATCAGAGTGCTCTTTGCCATTTTACACAGCGTGGGAAAATTCCAAAGAACTTTCCCACACTGTGTAAAATGGCACAGAGCACTCTGATTGGGTGGCTTGAAATCCATCCAATCAGAGTGTTTTGTGTCATTTTACACAGCGTGGGAAAGTGCTCTGTGTCATTTTACACAGCGTGGGAAAGTGCTCTGTGTCATTTTACACAGCGTGGGAAAGTGCTCTGTGTCATTTTACACAGCGTGGGAAAGTGCTCTGTGTCATTTTACACAGCGTGGGGAAAGTGCTCTGTGTCATTTTACACAGCGTGGGGAAAGTGCTCTGTGTCATTTTACACAGCGTGGGAAAGTGCTGTGTCATTTTACACAGCGTGGGAAAGTGCTGTGTCATTTTACACAGCGTGGGAAAGTGCTGTGTTATTTTACACAGCGTGGGAAAGTTCTTTGGAATTTTCCCACGCTGTGTAAAATGACAAAGAGCACTCTGATTAGCTTAAACCAGCCAATCAGAGTGTTCTTAGCCTAATTGCAGGGCGAGGCAAGGCTTTATAAGCCATCCCCTGCCCTGCACGGAGCCCTCCATGGGTGAAGATGGGTTATTTTTTTTGCGCTCAGTTTTTTATTTTTCGTCCGGTTTTTTATTTTATTTTAAGTTCGACAGGTATGATGGTTTTTTATTTGGCCTTTTTTGAGGCTGTAAAATTAAGATTTTAGAAAACAAGACGACGTCAAATGGTAAGTTTAATTTTTCTTTACAGGTTAGTTATTTTATTCCCCCCTCACTATTTTTTAGGGTGAGGGGAGTAGGTAGGGGGTTACTTTTCTTTTGGGTGGGTGGGTGACTAGGGGATTGGGTCCCCTAGTCACCTTTGATGGGGGGGCGGGGGAATTTGTCTAAGGGCCCCCACCCGCCGCCCAGGGGTGGGGGCCGGGGGGGAGTACAGTAGGTCCCCCCCTCATTATCTTTATGGCCCCTACCCACCGCTCAAGGGTTGGGGGGCCGGGGGGGAGGACAGTAGGTCGCCCCCCCTTGTAATTTATGGCCCCCACCCACTGCTCAAGGGTGGGGGCCGGGGGGGAGGACCAGTCTGTGCGGAGCCCTCCATGGGTGAAGATGGATTAATTTTTTGGCGCTTGTTTTTTTCTTTTTTGTCAAGTTTTTTTTATTTTATTTTAAGTTCGATGGATATGATGGTTTTTTTATTTGACCTTTTTTGGGGATGAAAAGTGAAGATTTTAGAAAAAAGAAGACGTCTAATGGTAAGTTAAATTTTTCGTTACAGGTTAGTTATTTTATTTCCCCCCTCACTATTTATTAGGGTGAGGGGGTAGGTAGGGGCTTACTTTTTTTTTTTGGGTGGGAGGGTGGGTGACTAGGGGCTTGGGGACTCCTAGTCACCTTGATTGGTGGGGCGGGGGAATTTGTCATCCAGCACACACACACCCATCATCCAGCACACACACACCCATCATCCAGCACTCACACACACACACCATCCAGCACACACACACACCCATCATCCAGCACACACACACACACCCATCATCCAGCACACACACCCATCATCCAGCACGCACACACACACACCCATCATCCAGCACGCACACACCCACCCATCATCCAGCACGCACACACACACCCATCATCCAGCACACACACCCATCATCCAGCATTCACACACCCATCATCCAGCACACACACACCCATCATCCAGCACACACACACCATCATCCACACACACACCATCATCCAGCACACACACATCCAGCACACACACACACATCATCCAGCACTCACACACACATCATCCAGCACACACACACACATCATCCAGCATTCACACACACACATCATCCAGCACACACATCATCCAGCACATACATCATCCAGCACTCACACACACACACATCATCCAGCACACACATCATCCAGCACATACATCATCCAGCACTCACACACACATCAACCAGCACTCACACACACATCATCCAGCACTCACACACACATCATCCAGCACACGCAGTCATAAACATCATCCAGCACACGCAGTCACAAACATCATCCAGCACACGCAGTCACACACACATCATCCAGCACACACACACATCATCCAGCACTCACACACATGTCATGCAGCGCGCGCACACACATCATCCAGCACACGCACACACTGCATTCATTATACACACTCATTATCTTTATGGCCCCCACCCACTGCTCAAGAGTGGGGGCCGGGGGGAGGGAGAACAGTAGGTCCCCCATTATAATTTATGGCCCCCAGCCACCGCTCAAGGGTGGGGGCCGGGGAAAGGACAGTAGGTCCCCCCATTGTAATTTATGGCCCCCAACCACCATGCAAGGGTGGGGGCCGGGAGGACAGTAGGTCCCCCCATGTAATTTATGGCCCCCACCCACTGCTCAAGATGTGGGGGCCGGGGGGAGGACAGTAGGTTCCCCCATTGTAATTTATGGCCCCCACCCACAGCTCAAGGGTGGGGGCCAGGGGGAGGACAGTAGGTCCTCCCCCCTCATTATCTTTATGGCCCCCACCCACCGCTCAAGGGTGGGGGCCGGGGGGAGGACAGTAGGTCCCCCTCATTGTAATTTATGGCCCCCACGCACCGTGCAGGGGTGGGGGCCTGGGGGGAGGACAGTAGGTGTCCCCCCCTCATTATCTTTATGGTCCCACCCGTCGCACAGGGGTGGGGGCCAATAGGTTGCTCACTGCAGGCTGCTCACTGCTTACTAGACATGTTTACCAATACTAAGTAATCTTTACTTAGTATTAGTAAATGGGATACCGTGGGAATTAGGGAGTTATCTACTAAGCGGCTGCAAGATGCAGCCACAGCACGAATTGAATCGAAGTTTCATTCATTCAAATGAAATTCCGATATGAATAAAGTGCCGAATTGAGTTCTAAAAGAAACGAACATACTGTTCTCATTCAGTTAGAACGCAATTCGTCAGTTTTGTCTAAAATGACAGGAAGCATCGCGAGATCACAGAGGAAAGGTAAGAATTATGGGAAAATTGCTGTGACCAGCGGAAATGAAGCACACTTTGCTCCTCCGCTGGTCAAGCGGAAGAATCCTCCATAAGGCAAAGAGTCCCTACTTTGTCTTATGATTTTAAAGAAAACTAAAGAAGACAGGAAGAAAAGAAGAACAGATCCTGAGAGAGGGGGAGAAGAGGAAGAGATTGAGGAAAGGTAAGTTCAGCATGACAGTGCCACTTTAAAAGCAAGAAGGCCCCAAGAAGTTAGACCCATTTGTGAATCTTTTCACAAATTTGGATTTAGTGATCATTATTAAACCTACAGACCCCTTTAAACAGTATTATGCTCCTTGCAATAATGACCTATAACAATCGTCTTCAATATACAAGTCTTTTCCAAAACAAGGACACATACACATTAATATAAAAACATCTGCCTAAGTCCGTTGTTTTTTTTAAAGACCTAATTCTGTGAGCTTTGAAGTTGTGGTTTATTGAATGAGTGCACAGGATCTTGTATGTTGTATGTTGTATGAAATGGCCCCAGCAGCACACTTATAATGTATGCATGTTGAGATGAGTGCAGCCCTCTTGGTTCATATGTAAATATATTTGGGCCTATCCTGTAAGCTCATTTGCTCCAATTTGTCAAGTAAAAAAATTAATAGGAAGGACAAATTCACTCACGTGTTTTCTATTAACCAAGTTGTGTCCTCTTGTATTTGCAAAGGTTCATCAAATTCAGATGTTTGGCCCTGTGTTCAAAAAACATTGGTATACCTATTCATTATCAAACGGTAATACAGTTTCATTACCACTTTAAAAAGGTTAGGAGGGATTACAAGGTCACTTATTGTTTGGTGTACCAGCACTGAACATTTTATGGACCATCATTCTTAGACAGGCAGTAGATAGCTTATAGTTCTATTATTTACAGCACATAGGATCTCCAGCACCGCAATATCTCCACAATCAAAGGAAACTGGGTGAAAGTGAGGTGTACACTGTTACCCCATCCAATAACATCTACTCAGTTTGTAAACTGTATTATGATGGCCCCATACACTTATAATTTCTTAATTTTTATTTTAAACCAATTAAAATGGTTCAGTAACCATCAAACCTGCAACATATACAAGAACCCCTCCCACCCACAAAAAGTTCAAAAAAAAGAAGAAAAAAAAAAAAAAGAAATTAAAATGTTTTCGCAAAGCAAAAAAATAATAATGCATGCATATGACAAGGGGCTCATGAGGGGAGGGCTAATGGCTCTTTGCCTTGGGGGCATTAAGAAAGAATATCTGTACAAGGCTGAGGTAAGGCTTCATCCCATAACTCCTGCATTCAAGTGGCCCAGATAAAAACTGCCCTAATGCCTGTGTGGCTCACATATTCCCTCTAACTTACATGTACATCTGTACACTTGCCTCCTTTTATAGCCTTTCACACACTCCATTAAAACATATATACACACCAAACCTCATACATGAATTCTCACATTTGCCTACAAATGCTCATCCAGAAACACTCTATATAGTGCCAACATGCAGCACCCAAATGCCCCATGCATATCATTAGCCATATCTTACTAACCCATATAATTGCCACACTACACATGTATCAGATGTTCTGTAATTAACAAACTAATGACAAACACAAATTCTCTGTTTATTATATTTTCTGCAAAAGGAAACAGCAGACTGCACACTTCTTACATCACTAGAACACAAGACATTCAGCAAGCACACATCACTAGCAAATTTGAGATTTATCAGAAGCACAAACCCCGAACACCATTGTTTTTACTCACAAGCACACATCACTGGCACGCACAACAGACCAGTGGTTTACAATCAGTGTGCCTCAAGCCACATCAAAGTGTACAGCGAACACAATGACTACAGGACTGTAACACAATCCTTAAATGTATTGTTAATAAATACTCCCCTGGCTGGCATGAGACATTGAGTAGATGGGTCATGAAATGAAAACAGAATATGAATCCCAAGGACAAGCCACAAAATGTTCAATGGTATTAATTTTTTTGTTATAGGACAACAAATTTTCTTCAGATCATTTCCTTGAAAAAAAAATAGCTTGTGCATATTTAACATCAACTCCAACCTCACACTACTGGATCATCCTCAACATTAAGTATGCATTACCTCATTGTAACTTATGAAGTCCGTGTGGATGGCATTTGTGTCGTCGTATCGGCAAAGTAAATTCTCTGGCTCGCCAATGACAGTCTGGTGAGAATACTGTTGACAGCCAACTAATACAAGAATATAATCTTATAAATATTCTTCAAGCACAAATGCACTACATTTGTTTCAATAAAATTATAATATCATAAAATATGGTTATATGACAGCAACATTCTAACATTAAAACGACCACCAACGTATATTTATACTGATAGTTGTCTATGATTTTGCCTAGGTCTCCTGGTATTTTTTTCTGTCCTCCCTACTTCATCAAAATCTACATACAATTGATTAGAATGCTGCCTCCTGGGAAATAATGGGATTTGTTAACCAAGATCTTTATTACATTATGGTGTTAGTTATATTTTCCAAATTTCAGCCAGCATTTTACGACAGTTATCAAAGTGAGCACAATTAAAACTCCAGAAAAATTTTTGGTATCATCTCTGAAGTCAGAAAATGTTATTTTAAAACCAGGTTTAAACAGTGATTTCATTGTTAATATAACAATGTCAAGATCAATAGGTCAATATCACAAGGTTACTAGGAACAAAAAGTGCAGTCTTCAAGGGATTTTTAATTATGTCGCAGGTTATGCAAAGCCAAACATATTGGTGATGTCAACAGGTGACAGGTGTGTAATTAAAATATTTTCCAAGAGACTTTGTAGAGAGTGTGTATTTCTTTAAGGTATGCAAACAAATCTTTCCGTTATAGTGTACATTTTTTTTTATGTTGTCTATTTTGCTACATCATATTTAGCTTGTGTGCAAACGCTTAGTTATTTGTTTGAGAATAGTTGTTTTGAGTCCTTTGGTTTGTAGCAATCCCAAAGCTTTCAGTGGTCTTGTTAAAGTGTCAGTAGCTCTTCATCAGCAAGATTGTGATTGCTGAGACATGCGGGCTTGTAACTTGTGTCACCAGCAACGACCAACGCCTAGGCCCGCAAAAAAAAAGAGGGGATCCATGACAGCTTATTTAGCTGCCCCCCCCTCCCTCTCTCTCTCAACAGGACCACTGAAGCACTCTCCGCATGGTTCTAGTGACCTCTGCACAGCATTAACGCATTTTATGATGCTCAAGTGCCTTGCAGTTCTCTGTTGTCCCCTTTTCACTTTTGGACAGGACACCAAAAGTTATACTGTTGGGGGGCATGGGTGGCTTAATGCAATAAATCGCTCTCTTTTCACAAATCTGATAACAGAAAAGTATTGGACAGATAGGGTTGTGACCATTTCAACATCTTTAATAGCCCAGCAGCCATATGTCAAGAAATATCAGATATTAAATTGCAATTTTTCTATTTATCAGAAATTGAGAAAAATTGTCAAGAAAACTGAAAATTTTAAGTCAAAAGAGCTGAGCTAGAAAAATAAATTAATTTGCTGCTAAAAGTGTATTCCCAGTCTGTTTAGTAAACCACACTGGGTTTTCCTATGGGAGAGCCATAAACCATGCATCCCTACGAGTTCAGCTCTCTCCAACCAGAAGACTGAAAAAAGGCAACCCACAAGTGTTTCAGCTAGCTGACTGGCAGTCATGGTGGTCTTAGATTTATTTTATTTTTTTTAATAATAGCTGCAATAAGGCACTCTCAGATATAAGAATGGGTTCAGGCTTATCTAACCATGCACTGTTAAAAATGTAGCATTGAAAGACATACTAATTATCTTTGACAAACAAATCATTGATTTACAGTATGCACAGCTACTATATGCATGTAACTTGATATCTTTAATAATATTACACAGTTATAGAACAGGTAGAAGAAACACACTGGTACAAGATGTAACAAATGGAACAAGTAAAATCCTCCTTTGCAATGCTTACCCTTGATTGGGCTGTTTAATTGCTGGTCTAACTCGTCTTTGGCAAGATTTTCTTCTTCCAAGATATCAGACATTGGCACACTCGGGCTGGCTGAGTCTTCATCACAAGGCTTAAACAGAAAAATAAAGAGGATTTGAGAACACAATCAACAACATTCTTCAACATCATCCTTCCTTCATTTAGAAACCCAAAACTGTTGAGATATATAAACTTACCTCAATGTGTGATTCAATTTATTTTTCATAAACAGAAAGAAAAATGTATATTTTACATGTAATCACTAGTGTTTAGACTAACTGATTAATTAAATGTGCATTTGTTGGAGGGACCTACTCAATATATAGTTACCTGTACCTCCAATACCGATATTTGTTTTCCTGGCCACCAATCACATTTTTTTAAATTGTATTATTTATACATATATTTTTGTTCTGCTCATTTAAGGGATCCATAACCCTATCCTTTCTACTCTTCTCATAACCTGTACATTTTCAACAACCATTTTTTATGTTTCTTCTTTCTCCAAAGAAACCTGCTTTACTCTAAATTAGGGAGGTTCCTTTAAGACCCCGCACTGTATTAAGGGCAAACTTCAAATTTCTTACAGAAACAGGTCAGATCTATTCACTACAAGTGGATATGGTGACATGCTCTGAACTCTATAAACACAGAGACATTTGCCACCGTTAAGCGAAAAGACAACTTCTTTTTAGAATTTAGAAATTCTAATTTAATTGTCAGAGCTAAACTCTAGTTATTGTGGGCTACAAACCAACCACGGTTTATGGATATTATAACTGGAGGACAATCAGATACACAACATGACTCACTGACAAAATCATCTCTGTATTATCAAGAATGTTTTACAAGTGTGGGGGGAGTTTTACCCTCTTTGTTATTAAGTGCTAGCTTGTATGAGTTATTAACCCTTTCCTTGCAGAGGCATTAAGGTCACCTAAGAATAGCTGTTTACAACAATTAGGAGGGTTGTAAATCTTTTTTATTAATGTCTTTATTATTGCACGGGGTGAAGGGGCAATCAAATAACTAGAAGAACACTTGTTTTGGGAATGCATGTTTGCATTCCTAACGCTACGGTTTTCCTTTAAGATCTGTAATATGTAGGCACGAGAATAAACAAGAATATTAGAGAAAGATAGATTCACCCTTCTGGGCAAACTAGTTAGATAGATAACATAACTCATTTTCTTTGTTTTAGGTATTATGAGGTAAAGTAGTATTTGGACAGGATACTTCCACTAACACACAGTCTCACTATAAGCAGCATAGGAACATGTCCATGAGCCAAGGCCAGTGGACCAGAGAAGCAGAACTCCAGGAGAAAGTAAAAATTGAACACACACATAAAAACATAGAATGTGACGGCGGATAAGAACCATTCGGCCCATATAGGCTACCCAATTTTCTAAATACTTTCATTAGTCCCTGGCCTTATCTTATAGCTAGAATAGCCTTATTCCTATCCTACGCCTGCTTAAAGGACCACTGTAGGCACCCAGACCACTTCAGCTTAATGAAGTGGTCTGGGTGCCTGGTCCAGCTAGGGTTAACCCATTTTTTCATAAACATAGCAGTTTCAGAGAAACTGCTATGTTTATGAATGGGTTAAGCCTTCCCCTATTTCCTCTAGTGGCTGTCTCATTGACAGCCACTAGAGGCGCTTGCGTGCTTCTCACTGTGATTTTCACAGTGAGAGCACGCAAGCGTCCATAGGAAAGCATTATGAATGCTTTCCTATGAGACGGGCTGAATGCGCGCGCAGCTCTTGCCGCGCGTGCGCATTCAGCCGACGGGGAAGAGAGAAGGAGGATCGGAGGAGGAGAGTTCCCCGCCCAGCGCTGGAAAAAGGTAAGTTTAACCCCTTTTCCCCTTTCCAGAGCCGGGCGGGTGGGGGCACCCTCAGGGCACTATAGTGCCAGGAAAACGAGTATGTTTTCCTGGCACTATAGTGGTCCTTTAAATTCCCTCACTCTGTTAACTTCTACTACTTCAGCTGGATGGCTATTCCATCCCTCCACTACCCTTTCAGTAAAGTAATACTTCCTGATATTTTTAAACCTTTGTCCCTCTAATTTAAGACTATGTCCTCTTGTTGTGGTAGTTTTTCTTCCTTTACTGTGTTGATTCCCTTTATGTATTTAAATATTTATATCATATACCCCCGTCTCGTCTTTCCTCCAAGCTATACAAAAACCCATTTAGAGTAGGCATGTGCATGGGGAAAATTTTCGGTTCGGCATTCCGAAATTCGGGACTTCGCCACTTTGTGACTTCTGTTGCAGCCGCTTAGTAGAAAACTCCCTAATTCCAACGTATTAGGGAGTTATTTACCAAAAGGCTGAAAGACCTAAATTGGTCTTTCAGTCAAATTTACTAATACTAAGTAAAAATTACTTAGTATTAGTAAATTTTGCCCCTACTCGCTATACCGCGAGTAGGGACATGTCTATTAAACAGTAGGTACATATCTATTAAACAGTGAGCAACCTATTGCCTCCCCCCGGCCCCCACCTTTGAGTGGCGGGTAGAGGGCCTAAAGTAAAATGATGGGGGGAACCTATAGTCCTCCCCCCCAGCCCTCACACTGAGCGGTGGGGGCCTTAAATACTAATAAGGTTGGGGGGACCTAATGTCCTCCCCCCTGGTCCCCACCCCTGAACGGTGGGTGGGGCCCTAAATTAGAATAAGGGGGGGACCTAATGTCCTCCCCCCTGGCCCCCACCCCTGAGCGGCTTATAAAGCCTTGCACCGCCCTGCAATTAGGCTCAGAGCACTCTGATTGGTGGGTTTAAGCCATCCAATCAGAGTGCTCTGACAGGTAAATGAAGAGACTGACAGGCAGGTCTCTACATTTGACTCATAACACTCTGATTAGTGGAATAAGTAACCAATCAGAGTTATGAGTCAAATTACACAGCGTGGGAAAATTCCAAAGAACTTTCCCACGCTGTGTAAAATGACAGAGCACTCTGATTGATGGATTTCAAGCCAAACAATCAGAGTGCTGTGACAGGTAGATGTAGAGACTAACCTGTTAGTCTCTTCATTTATCTGTCAGAGCACTCTGATTGGATGGCTTAAACCCACCAATCAGAGTGCTCTGAGCCTAATTGCAGGGAGGGGCAAGGCTTTATAAGCCTTCCCCCGCCCTGCAGAGCTCAGTCTGCGAGGAGCCCTCCATGGAGTAAGATGGATTATTTTTTATTTATTCTTTTGGTGCGTCGGTTATTATGGATTTTTTATTTGACGTTTTTTGGGGCTGAAAAAAAAGAAGATTTTAGAAGAAAGAAAACATCAAATGGTAAGTTTTCTTTTTTTTACAGGTACTTAGTTAATGGCCCCCCCTCATTATTTTTAGGGTGAGGGGGGTAGGTAGGGGTTAGTTTTTTTGGGGGGGAGGGGGTGACTAGGGGCTGGGGACCCCTAGTCACCTATGGGGGTGGAGGGGTAACATTTTTATTTTGGGCCCCAACCCTCCGCTCAGGGGTGGGGGCCAGGGGGGAGGTCAATAGGTCCCCCCCTTATTGGTATTTAGGGCTCCCACCCGCCGCTCAGGGGTTGGGGCCGGGGGGGTGGACCATAGGTCCCCCCCTTATTGGTATTTAGGGCTCCCACCCGCCGCTCAGGGGTGGGGGCCAGGGGGGAGGACAATAGGTTCCCCCCCTTATTCTAATTTAGGGCCCACCGCTCAGGGGTGGGGGCCAGGGGGAGGACATTAGGTCGCCCCCCTTATTAGTATTTAGGGCCCCCACCCACCGCTCAGGGGTGGGGGCGAAGGGGGGAATAGGTCACCCTTCAGGTTAGAAGCCCCCACTCGCGCAGCACGGGTGGGGCTTTTTTTCTGCTCACTGTTTAATAGACATGCCTTTACTCGCAGTATGGCAAGTAGGGGCATAATTTACTAATACTAAGTAATCTATACTCAGTATTAGTAAATTTGGCAGAAAGACCAATTTAGGTCTTTCAGCCTTTTAGTAGATAACTCCCTGATACGGTGGGAATTAGAGTGTTATCCACTTATTCATTCCTGTCATTACATTGACTGGCTAAGTAACTTACATTTTATATGAATGTATGTTACTTGATTGGTGTAAGTGTTGCAAATGCTTACAGCTAAATCCTGGCTATGTTTGAATACTTTTTATTTAAAATTGTATACAGTGTAACATTCTTCATTCTTCCACTGGGTAAGTATATTAGTTCTTAGGTAATACTGTGCTTCGGCAACTTCGGAACTTCGAGACTTCGACAATTCAGTAATTCATCTATTCGGACATTCGGAAGTACCCAAATGTCCAAATTTCCCGAAATTCGTCCGAATTCACATTCGGCCCGAAACAAATTGCACATGTCTAATTTAGAGTAAACTCTTACATACTTGCAAACTGATCAATCAACAAGTTGTGCGCACACAGCTTGCCAGTCAGTGGCTGATGCTCAGCTGGGAACAGAATGATGAATGACATACAGGTCTAAAAAAGGTTGGGGGTCTCTCTGGATTATATGCTCATTCTGTCACGGTAACAAAACCCCAACATTTAGAGTTTTATCTAAATATAAAAACCATATTACCAGGCCTAAGAATGGCTTGACTTAACCTAGCAAAATTAAGAATAGTCCAGAAATAGCCAAAAGTCAAGGGAGCCAGCGGACAGGAGAATGATTAGACATGAAGTCGGAGTCCAGAGATAACCGAGAAAAGAGAAGTCAAATATCAGAGCTGTGTCTGTAAGCAAATATACTAGAAATCACAAACACCACTATAGAGACTAAAGCAGGAACCACAATAGGGCACTGCTAAAAGCATAAATCTCTAAAACATAAGGGGGCAGTGCAAGTGATGCAAATCTGCATCATGTAGGCAGAGCCGAAGCATCCAGCATCGGAATTGCCAAATGATTCGGGAGAGGAGCCTTCCGGAGATCACCACGTTGGCTCCCGGGAGCGAGTTAAGTAATTGTGACACATTCAAGTAGAGTCCTCAATAACCGATTTTTAACACTTGTAAAGGTTTGTTTCTAATTTGTCAATATATCCTTACAATATATCCCCAATTAATATGGTAAAGTGCTGCAGAATGTGTCGTGGCTACATAAATAATAATAATAATGATGATGATAATAATGCTTAATACTAGCATGTCATCTCCATTAGGAAGGGCACTAAGAAATCTTAAATATTTCCATTTGTCTTCATTTACAAAGAGATTTTACTCTGTGCATTGTCATAAGTCCACTGTCAATGAAAGGAGGAGTGGAATAAAATAATAAATAATAAATGCATAAAATGTCTCTTTGCAAAAAAAATAAACTACAACGGACAAAAAAAAAAAAAAATAAACACAGGAAGACATTCAATAATAAAACCCCTTACAGTAGCATGTGAGCATTTGTGGCCTGGCATTGCATCTCGTTCATCCAGATGTTTCCTAGGAGAGTAATAAAGTGTGCCTGTCATGACATCAGAGACTAAAAAGCTTCTTCCACAGGTGAAGCCCTCTGCCTCATATCCTGCAGCTGGAGATCTAATTTTAACCGGGAACAAGAGGCGAGATTTCACTAGTAGGGTTCAAAGGTAGACTTCATTTTGATTTTCAAAGCATAGTAAATGTTTCATTTTATCAGACTCGATATCGAACAATCATATCAATGTGCTATGAGCCGTTCTGTGTTGGCTGATATTTTTTTTTTTCATGCATTTATTTAACCCCTTGAGGACCAAACTTCTGGAATAAAAAGGAATCATGACATGTCACACATGTCATGTGTCTTTAAGGGGTTAAAGAGTTCAAATGGTTTATGTAAATTAAATTACAATAGTCTGTGGGAAAGCATCTGTATTACTAAGGGGGCACTATAGGGTCTGGAACACAAACATGTATTCCTGACCATATAGGGTTAAAATCCCCATCTAGCCCCCCTGGTCCCCTCATGCCTCCATAAATATAGAAATCTTACTTAAATTTAAGTCTGGAGCTGCTGGCTCTGTCCCTGTTTCCTTTAGACCTGCCCACCACTGCCTGCTGACATCATCAGAAGTGGTGGCCTGATCCAATCACAATGCTTCCCCATAGGATTGGCTGAGACTGACAAAGAGGCAGATCAGGGGCAGAGCCAGCATGATTCAAACACAGCCCTGGCCAATCAGCATCTCCTCATAGAGATGAATTGAATCAATGAGTCTCTATGAGGAAAGTTCAGTGTCTGCATGCAGAGGGAGGAGACACTGGATGTTTGGATGCATTTTAGGCAGCCATGACCCAGGAAGGATCTCTAACAGCCATCTAAGGAGTGGCCAGTGAAGTTATCACTAGGCTGTAATGTAAACACTGCATTTTCTCTGAAAAGACAGTGTTTACAGCAAAAAGCCTGAAGGTAATGATTCTATTCACCAGAACAAATTCAATAAGCTGTAGTTGTTCTGGTGACTATAGTGTCCTTGCTGAAAGCAAGTATTAAAACGACAGTAAGTGCAAACTATGGAGTTGATCTACTAGAAATCAAGATAAGTAAATAAACCAGGGAACCAGATGACGGTCCCACAATATTTGTGCGTAAGAAATCGAGATGCAACATAGTAAATAGCAAATGGCGTTTCAGTTTCTATGGTTTTCTATAGGGTGGGTTTGCTTCAGCCAAAGTCTACTTTGGCTGATTTATTAGAACAATATGCCCCCCCCCTCCAAAAAAAAAACACCCAAAAACTAATTTGAGCATATCATCTAATGAGGCCATTTGTGTCAAACATTACTTTGCATATTGACCAACATAATGATAGCCCTAATAATAATTTGACTTTTGCTTGTTTTCAATTATGTCTTGGAGATTATTATGTAGATGTTATTCTAACCAACTTCATGATTTTATGAACATTGAGAGGATGAAATGCTGAGTTAACTTTGGCAGAACTCTAATCTACTTCTTTGAGATGCTGCGGTTGGAATAACCACAGAGCTATCTCCCCAGCATAGCCACTATAGTCTCAGCAAGCACTCTGAATCTTGAGTGCAATGTCCAGGGGGAATCAGATAGTAATTTACTTTTTTTTTTTTTTTTAAAGTAATTTTACTTTTTTAAACTAAACTCTATCTGACCTCTTGATTACTGTTTAACCCATAAAATCTTCTCACAGTTGTCCAACATGGTTTGCATATTTAAAGGACACTGTAGGAACCCAGACCACTTCAGTTTAATGAAGTTTTCTGGGTGCAGTGTCCCTATTGCACTTAGTGCTGCAATTTTAAACATTGCAGTTCCAGCGAAACTGCAATGTTGACATTGCAGCTCTAAGTCTGCCCACAGTGGCTGTCTACCAGACAGCCTCTAGAGGGCTTCCTGAAGTGAAAAGGACCTTTGGTCCAGTATTGGACGCTCTGCATGAGGACCTCCAGCATCAGATTTTTTCCCCATCGGAAAGCGTTGATTCATAGTAAAGCATGCGCATTAGAGCCCACTCGTCGCAGGACGTCAGAGGGTGCGGAACGATAAGGTAAGTAAATAAAGGGTATTTAACCCTTTATTTACCGGGGAGGGGGGCGCAAAGGATGGGGAAGGCAGGGGAAAAGATAGTGCCAGGAATACAGTTTTGTATTCCTGGCACTATACAGGTGATACTCGAAAAATTTGAATATCGTGCAAAAGTTAATTTATTTCAGTAATGCAACGTAAAAGGGGAAACTAATATATGCGATAGACGCATTACATGCAAAGCAAGATAGTTCAAGCCGTGATTTGTCATAAGTGCGATGATTATGGCTTACAGCTCATGAAAACCCCAAATTCACAATCTTAGTAAATTAGAATATTGTGAAAAGGTGCAATATTCTAGGCTCAAAATGTCCCACTATAATCAGCTAAGTAAGCCATAACACCTTCATAGGGTTTCTGAGCCTTTAAATTGTCTCTCAGTCTGGTTCAGTAGGAATCACAATCATGGGGAAGACTGCTGACCTGACAGTTGTGCAGAAAACTATCATTGACACCCTCCATAAGGAGGGAAAGCCTCAAAAGGTAATTGCGAAGGAAGTTGGATGTTCCCAAAGTGCTGTATCAAAGCACATTAATAGAAAGTTATGTGGAAGGGAAAAGTGTGCAACAAAAAGGTGCACAAGCAGCAGGGATGACCGCAGCCTGGAGAGGATTGTCAGGAAAAAGCCATTCAAAAGTGTTGGGGACTTTCACAAGGAGTGGACTGAGGCTGGAGTCAGTGCATCAAGAGCCACCACACACAGACGGATCCTGGAAATGGGTTTCAGATGTCGTATTCCTCTTGTCAAGCCGCTCCTGAACAACAAACAACATCAGAAGCATCTTACCTGGGCTAAAGAAAAACAGACCTGGTCTGTTTCTCTGTGTCCAAAGTCCTCTTTTCTGATGACAGCAACTTTTGCATCTCATTTGGAAACCAATGACCCAGAGTCTGGAGGAAGAATGGAGAGGCACACACTGCAAGATGCTTGAAGTCCAGTGTGAAGTTTTCACAGTCTGTGTTGATTTGGGGAGCCATGTCGTCTGCTGGAGTTGGTCCACTGTGCTTCATTAAGTCCATGGTCAACGCAGCCATCTACCAAGGGGCGTTTTAGCCGCGAGGCAAACAAGGCATTTGCCTTGGGCGGCATTTTTCAGGGGGCGGCAAAAAATGCCCAGGGCAAATGCCTTGTTAGCCTTGTGGCTAACTGACATGCTGGGCGGGCAGGCTGCTGGCGAGGGAGCACTTCCTCTAAGCGGTCTGCTTAGCTCCCTCGCCCCCCGTGTGTGTATTTAGAAGGTGGGGTGGGGGGAAGGGTTGAGTGGGGGTGGCGCGGAGAGAGGGGGTGCCTAAGTTTTGTCTTGCCTAGGGCAGCAGAAAACCAGGATACACCACTGCATCTACCAGGAGATTTTGGAGCACTTCATGCTTCCTTCCGCAGATGAGCTCTATGGGGATGCTGACTTCATTTTCCAGCAGGACTTGGCACCTGCCCACACTGCCAAAAGCACCAAAGCCTGGTTCAATGAATGTGGGATTACTGTGCTTGATTGGCCAGCAAACTCGCCTGACCTGAACCCCATAGAGAATCTATGGGGCATTGCCAAGAGAAAGATGAGAGACATGAGACTGAACAATGCAGAAGAGCTGAAGGCCGCTATTGAAGCACCTTGGTCTTCCATAACACCTCAGCAGTGCCACAGGCTGATAGCTTCCATGCCACGCCGCATTGAGGCACTAATTGCTGCAATAGGGGCCCAAACCAAGTACTGAGTCCACATGCATGCTTATACTTTTCAGAGGTTCGATATTGTTCTATGTACACTCCTTGTTTTATTGATTGCATGTAATATTCTAATTTACTGAGATTGTGGATTTGGGGTTTTCATGAGCTGTAAGCCATAATCATCGCACTTATGGCAAATCATGACTTGAACTATCTTGCTTTGCATGTAATGCATCTATCTCATATATTAGTTTCCCCTTTTACATTGCATTACTGGAAAAAATGAACTTTTGCACGATATTCTAATTCTTCGAGTATCACCTGTAGTACCTCTTTAATGATTTGCTCTATTTCAGATGCACATCTGTTCTGCAAATATGTTCAAAAACTCCAATTATCCAATTATTGTTACTATTCCAGAGACTGATTACCTTTGCCAAACTTCACAAAGTGAGGGGGTTTGGATGCAAATATGTATACATGTGCAGCAACAAGAAGATAATAAGGGAAACTTACAAATAGAAAAAGAAGTTCGAAAGTGTAATGATAAGGTAAAGAAGACAAATAGTAAAAATGTAACTGGGCTGAAGCACAGATCAGGGATCAGCCAACAGAAATCTTAAAGAGACACGTAAATGGGCTCCAGAAAAATTGAATATTTGTTAAAGGTCTTTATAGGGGGGGGGGAGATAATTCTGTATTGGGCGGAAGATAATGCAAAGCACGTGTCTCAGCATGACATTTGAGTCCACCTGGCTCACCATGCGCATGATAACCTTTTCCATAGATAAATACACTGCTCAGAAAAATAAAGGGAACACAAAAAAAAACACATCCTAGATCTCAATGAATTAAATATTCTTCTGAAATACTTTGTTCTTTACATAGTTGAATGTGCTGACAACAAAAATCACACAAAAATTAAAAAAAACAGAAATCACATTTTTCAACCCATGGAGGTCTGGATTTGGAGTCACACTCAAAATTAAAGTGGAAAAACACACTACAGGCTGATCTAACTTTGATGTAATGTCCTTAAAACAAGTCAAAATGTGGCCTCCATGTGCCTGTATGACCTCCCTACAACACCTGTGCATGCTCCTGATGAGGTGGCGGATGGTCTCCTGAAGGATCTCATCCCAGACCTGGACTAAAGCATCTGCCAACTCCTGGACACTCTGTGGTGCAACGTGAAGTTGGTGGATGGAGCGAGACATGATGTCCCAGATGTGCTCAATTGGATTCAGGTCTCGGGAACGGGCAGGCCAGTCAGTAGCATCAATGCCTTCGTCTTGCAGGAACTGCTGACACACTCCAGCCACATGAGGTCTAGCATTGTCTTGCATTAGGAGGAACCCAGGGCCAACCACCCCAGCATATGGTCTCACAAGGGGTCTGAGGATCTCATCTCGGTACCTGTCAGCAGAACGTTCTCCACGGCGTCTCCAGACTCTGTCATGTCTGTCACATGTGCTCAGTGTGAACCTGCTTTCATCTGTGAAGAGCACAGGGCGCCAGTGGCGAATTTGCCAATCTTGGTGTTCTCTGGCAAATGCCAAACGTCCTGCACGGTGTTGGGCTGTAAGCACAACCCCCACCTGTTGGCGTCAGGCCCTCATACCACCCTCATGGAGTCTGTTTCTGACCGTTTGAGCAGACACATGCACATTTGTGGCCTGCTGGAGGTCATTTTGCAGGGCTCTGGCAGTGCTCCCCTTGTTCCTCCTTGCACAAAGGCGGAGGTAGCGGTCCTGCTGCTGGGTTGTTGCCCTCCTACGGCCTCCTCCACGTCTCCTGATGTACTGGCCTGTCTCCTGGTAGTGCCTCCATGCTCTGGACACTACGCTGACAGACACAGCAAACCTTCTTGCCACAGCTCGCATTGATGTGCCATCCTGGATGAGCTGTACTACCAGAGCCACTTGTGTGGGTTGTAGACTCCATCTCATGCTACCACTAGAGTGAAAGCACCGCCAGCATTCAAAAGTGACCAAAACATCAGCCAGGAAGCAGTGTATTTATCTATGGAAAAGGAACTGAGAAGTGGTCTGTGGTCACCACCTGCAGAACTATTCCTTTATTAGGGGTGTCTTGCTAATTGCCTATAATTTCCACCTTTTTTTTTGTATCCCATTTGCACAACAGCATGTGAAATTGATTGTCACTCAGTGTTGCTTCCTAAGTGGCCAGTTTTATTTCACAGAAGTGTGATTGACTTGGAGTTACATTGTGTTGTTTAGGTGTTCCCTTTATTTTTTTTTGAGCAGTGTATTTGTCAGTTCTATGTTGTCAAAAGGCACCTAATAATGAATCATGTTTTTAGACACAAACACGTATATAAGTAAATAACCATTCAAATACGTATTAAGTGATGATACCTAACAGACACATATAGAAGTATATAATAAGGTGTGCAATGAAGTGTATAAGTTTGAAGTGAATAACAAATCAAAGAGATTTTGTAAACTAATGATCTTCATATAAGGCAGCATATAAAGGTTAAGTGTTACACAGCAAGTTCAGCAATAACGTTCTCCACGTCGTGAAAATGGAAAAGACAGAGAATATACTAGCCAATGAAATGGTTTAGTTTTGTACCACTCATTGGAATACATTAATCAAAATGGCTATAAGACCCCTGACTTTTTGCTTAATAAAATGAGAACTCTTTTTATTACGTGTCCATCTAGTGCTTCTGAACAGATTGCCCAAATAGTTTTACAATTGTTTCACTATCCAGGTGAAGGTGGTTGGCCAATCAAGCAGTGGCGGAACTACCGCAGTTGCAGGGGTCGCAGCTGGGCCGTCACTCCCGGACTCCCGCTGGCTAAGTAATGCGGTCCTGCCGCGCAGTGTAACAGCCGGGGCGCATTGAAGGGGCCCATCGAGTGGTCCATGCTGTTAGGGCCACTCGATGATATGTATTTCCAGTGGGCCTGGTCAGCGCTTTAACAGCACGACCGTGCCCCCTCTGATGAGGTCAGAGGCTTTAAGGAAGTGACTGCCCTGGTCCCTCCTTCCAGCTTATACCAGGAGCCGCGCAGGAGGAAGGAGAGGAGGGAGTCAGAGTGGGATCTCTGCCTCCCATCAGGCGGAGCCACCACTGGACACCAGGGAAAAGTATGTGTGTCTGTCTGTGTGTCTCTGTCTGTCTGTGTGTCTCTGTCTGTCTGTGTGTCCTGTTCTTCCCAGGAATTTGGTAACCCGAGCTTGATGGGCTTCACGCGGTTAGCTTCCATTATGGCTGCTGGAGTCAGAAGAGTCTGGTCCACTTTTTTTTTTAATAAAGGTGCCTGAAGATATTGGGGTGCCTGCACCCCTTTTTCAAAGATTTGGAAAAGTCTGGAATGCATGCCCGGTGGAAGTGTCTATATATTTCATATATATCAGTTTAATTGTAATGTAAAAAGTAATTGAACTTTTAAAACTTTGCAATACAATTTCACATGCAGTGTTTGCACATTTTTTTAATCACTAATAATAAAACCTTACCTATAGTTGAAAGAGGGAAATATTGAACAAGGTGGATGGTGGGAAGGCATATTTATATTAATATTATTTTTGCATTTATATAGCTCCAGCATATTCCACAGCGCTTTACAATATTATAAAAGGGAGAAATTTAACAAAAAATGAGACATATTCAAAATGTTATAGGAACAATAAGTTGATGAGGGCCCTGCTCAAACGAGATTACAGTCTATACATATATAATACTGGAAAAGGATAGCACTTCATGGAATTGTTTAAAAATAAAACAACTTTAATTCCATTGCATCCATAAAATGTTAACGTTTCAGCTTCTTTACAAAACTTTCATCAGGACAAAAATGACAGACAGACAGAGATAGATGGATGGATAGATAGATAAATACACACACAAATTGTAATAGATGTACTTTTTATGTTTTTTTTTTATTGTGTCTCTAGGTAACGGATTAGACACATAAAAAATGAAAACTTGAGAAAAAAATAAATTTTCAATTAAAAAAACCAAAACAATTACCTCTATTGTTGATAAACGCTTCTCCCCACTGTCGCTGCCAACACCCGAGTCAGAATCCTTTTTTATTGGAAAGATATCTTCAATGCTTTTTAGTTATGTAAAAAAAAGTGTGTTTTTTTTTAAGTCACAGAATATTTGTAAGCACCATAAAATATGACAAAAACAAGGGCAAGGCATATTGAAATAATTACACAAACTTAACTCTGCCAGAATGTTAACTTTGAAATTGTAATTGGATATTGCAAACTTGCATTAGTTTTCTTGACGATTCTTTTTTTTTTTGGTTGGTTTCACTTTTTCATATTTATCAGTTTTATTTTAATTTAAAAAGTAATTGAACTTTTAAAACTTTGCAATACATTTTCACATGCACTCTTTGCACATATTTTTTTTAAATCACTAATAATAAAACCTTACCTGTAGTTGAAAGAGGGAAATGTTTAACAAGGTGGATGGTGGGAAGGCATATTTATGGTGGGAAGCAACAGTACAGCAACTTCAATGCTGACAAAACAAATAAAATCTGTCAGCATTGAAGTTGCTGTTTAGTGGATAAGTGAGTGCGCTGGATCTTGTGTATTGTATAATTTGGCCCCCAGCAGCACCCCATTTATGCATGTTCAGGTGAGTGAGGCCCCCAGGTTTTATATATTTGGAGTCTAGCCAACTACTTGGTTTTGCACCTCTCCCTGTCACAGGTGCTTCATTCCAGGGCCTTATTTGTTTGATGCTTAAAACACTTAAGACCATATATGTCTAAGATCTGGGAGCAGAGAGCCCCCACCTAAGATGTCTCTTCTCTAATCTTTCTGTTCTTTCTTACCTTGGAACTTATTTGTTATGTGTACATGACGTTCATCCCTATGTCTTATCTGTACTCTCTTCCTATTACTGTTCGAAGAGTATTTGCACGTAAGCACTTACTTTTTAATGTATAAAAACCCAGCTGATAAATAAAACGGCAGAGGCTTATTTTGAATACCAACAGGTGTCTGGTGTCTAATTCTCGCTTCTCCAAGTGCACTTGTAATAATAATTTGGGCTTTCTCTGAATATAACAAAGATCAACATTTCTGATCCACAACACCTTTTACTGCAGAAAGCCCCAGATGGAATTTTTTCCCTAAGTAAGTGGGTTAATCTCATAAGAGCAGACATTAGGCTGTTAGATCATATAATGTAACTAAACCCCCATTATTTTTGACTAGTTTTTTTTTTTTTTTTTTAAATCAATAGCTTGATTTGTATGGCGGAGGCAATGTTGACTGGATGGAAGGAAATGATAGGCAATGATGAATTATGCATACCTGGCGTAGATTTCAATAATTAATAATAGTAATTTTAAAACACATCTTTCTAAAACATATCATGACTTTTAAGTTGCACTGCGACAGTAAACCAGCTCACCTTTCTTCAACATGTTGTTGCAGAATTGGTCTTTCAAGGGAGTGAAGATAAAAAGGATCGCCCGTCTTTTCCATCTGACACGCCTGTATACTTAAATATTTGAATATATGTATTTTCCCTTTGATGCAAATCTAAGGAGAGATAAAAGAAGCTGAATGTAGTTTATTATGTAGGTAATGGATGCTGTGCATATGATATTTTCGTTTATACAAATATTTACATCAGTAATAAAAAAAGAAAACAGATTTATCTGTATAAATGGGAACTCCCCTGGATGTACATGCTGGTTGTTATCTTTTCGGTAATAACTAAAATAATAATGTTTTCTTTAAACTTTCATATATTTATTTGGCTGTGTGTATGTAAGACTGAACATATAAATATGCATGAATGTGTTTTTATTTTGTATGTATTTTTAAATCGCACTGAGCTCCCTTCCAGCCAGTTACTTCTTGAAGCGTGGTCGAGCGCGCCCCCGAGCTTTCCGCCCACGGAGCCCAGCTTCCTACTGCCCGCCCAGCGTCTTACCCTGGTGAATGCCGCAAGCTGTGTGGAGGATGCGGGGATATGAATTATATCATATCCCTGCTCCTTGTGTACCACACAGTGCGGCTGGCGCCCAGTGATGGGTCTGGGTTGCAAGACAGGACTCCACAGGACCGGACAGCATGCACCCCAGGGACCAGATTGAACAGATATAAGTATGTAATTGTTACTGTCTGTGTATGCATGTATGTATGTATGCCTGTATGTCTCTGTATGTATGTTTCTGTATGCTTGTATGTATATTTCTGTATATCTGTATATCTCTGTATGCCTGTATGTCAATATATGCCTGGATGTCTCTGTATGCCTTTATGTGCCTGTATGCAGGGCCGGATTAACACAGGGGCTGATGGAGCTGCAGCTCCAGGCCCAGGCCCAGGCCCAGGCCCATTGATTTATAAAAAAAAAATTATTTTATTTATTTTTTTTACATTTTTTTTTTTTCACACACTACTCTTAGGGATTCCACCTGGCTTTTATTTTATTGGCACAGGCAGTATTTGAGGCTGCCTGGCAGGTGCCAATAATACAGTGATATTGGCAATACAAATGCTGGTATTTCTCTCAGTATAAACAAGAGATTACTATGCAATACCCGCACTGGGCAGTAGGGGTCACTGTGTGTGGAGACAGGCAGGGATAGGAAGTTCCAGCATATCCCTCCCTGCCTATCTATACTCACTGATCTGCAGGGGTGCAGCTACAGAGAGTCCAGACAGCAACTCCCACCCTGCAGATACAGCCTACAGCTCAGGGAAGTGAGGGATGGGGGAAAGGCTGCAAGGAGACATACACTGAGACACTAAGGGACATTGGGAGACATTATGGCAGACACTGAGACACTAAGGGACACTGGGAGACATTATGGCAGACACTGAGACACTAAGGGACATTGGGAGACATTATGGCAGACAATGAGACACTAAGGGACGTTGGGAGACATTATGGCAGACACTGAGACACTAAGGGACACTGGGAGACATTATGGCAGACACTGAGACACTAAGGGACATTGGGAGACATTATGGCAGACACTGAGACACTAAGGGACATTGGGAGACATTATGGCAGACACTGAGACACTAAGGGACATTGGGAGACATTATGAGACAAACACATGGGGACACAGTGTCCCCATGTCTCCCAGCCAGTGTCCCTGGTGTCTCAGTGCCCCCTAGTCTCCCAGTGCCCCCAGTCAGCCAGTGTCTCACTGTCCCCATGCCTCCTAGTGCCTCCATGTCTCCCAGTGTCTCAATGTCCCCATGTCTCCAAGCTAGTGTCCCTAGTGTCTGCATTTTCTCTTATGTCACTCCTTGCGATTTACATCATGTGATGTCACCCATACATATTTAATTATGCAAATTAGCAAGGCCGGTATGTTTTTCCACGAAAGGTGGCAACCCCAACTACTTTTCACATACTCTTACTTAAGTATGGAAACTTAAGAGGGATGTATGGGAACAAAACTTGTGTGGACTGGCTGACAATGAATATAGTTAAAGGGACACTGGAGTCACCAGAACAACTACAGCTTATTGAATTTGTTCTGGTGAGTAGAATCATTACCGTCAGGCTTTTTGCTGTAAACACTGTCGCTTCAGAGAAAATGCAGTGTTTACATTACAGCCTAGTGATAACTTCACTGGCCACTCCTTAGATGGCTGTTAGAGATCCTTCCTGGGTCATGCCTGCCTAAAATGCATCCAAACATTCAGTGTCTCCTCCCTCTGCATGCAGACACTGAACTTTCCTCATAGAGATTCATTGATTCAATTCATCTCTATGAGGAGATGCTTATTGGCCAGGGCTGTGTTTGAATCACGCTGGCTCTGCCCCTGATCTGCCTCTTTGTCAGTCTCAGCCAATCCTATGGGTAAGCACTGTGATTGGATTAGGCCACCACTTCTAATGATGTGAGCAGACTGCTTGTTTTTCTGAGTCTAACAGCATGCAGAGTTACAGCTTCAGGCTTGAATACAGTAATATTTTGCTATATTTAAGGAGGCATGAGGGGCCCAGGGGGCTAGATGGTGGTGTTAACACTATAGGGTCATGAATTCATGTTTGTGTTCCTGACCCTATAGTGATCCTTTAAGGTAATGCTGACTTTGGACTCTCTAGCACTGTGGCATGTTCCCTTTCTTCTACACTCACTACATACAGCTTTTCTCTGTCCCAGACTATATACCAGGAGCTTCTGCCTGCTAGTAAGAAGGTAAGGAGACAAGTGGACCAGCGAGTGCTAGGGGACAGTCCTTAGAAAGCGTTGAGCAAGCGCATCATTAGATGCATTTATGCCAAGCTCAGGGTGCTGTCTGCATAGTCTGCATAGTATACCCTTCAGGGGCGGACTGACCACTCGGGCATATCGGTCATGGACCGAGGGCCCGAGGCAGTCAGGGGCCCGGCAGCACAGCCTTGTTCCAGCTGGAGAGATCAGAGATCTCTCCAACTGGAACGGCAAAATTAAAAAAAATAAAACTATTTCATTTATAGGTTGTGGGGCCCCTGATGCAGCTTGGGGCCCCACAACCTACTGCCCTGTAAATCACCCCCTATGAGACCTGGCAGCTTCAGCAGCTCCCTGCCAGGTCTCCTTCTCCCAGTCCCGCGGTGCTCTGTGTGATGGGAGAGGGACAGGAAGTGACATCACTTCCTGTTTACTCCTCTCACACAGAGCCCAGCGAGGGGAAGGAGCAGCAGCCAGGGAGAGCAGAGGAAGCACAGGTAGGCTCTAATCACCCCCCTCCCCCGTCCTAATCACCCCCCTGTCACTAGTCACCCCCCACTGTCACTAGTCACCCCCGTTACTAGTCACCCGTCACTAGTCAGCCCCCACCGTCACTAGTCACCCCTGTCACTGAGTCACCCCCTCACTGTCACTAGTCACCCCCCCTCACAGTCACTAGTCACTGTCACTAGTCACCCCCTCACAGTCACTAGTCACCCTCCCTCACAGTCACTAGTCACCCCCCCTCACTGTCACTAGTCACCCACCTACTGTGTTACTAGTCACCCCCTCACTGTGTCACTAGTCACCCCCGTCACTGTCACTAGTCACCCCCCTACTGTCACTAGTCACCCCCCCACTGAGTCACTAGTAACCCCCTCCCTCACTCTGTCACTAGTCACCCCTTCCCTCACTCACTCTGTCACCCCTTCCCTCCCTTACTCTGTCACTAGTCACCCCCTCCCTCACTCACTCTGTCACCCCTTCCCTCCCTTACTCTGTCACTAGTCACCCCCTCCCTCACTCTGTCACTAGTCACCCACTTACTCTAGTGACAGAGGGAGGGATGGGGTGACTATTGACAGAGGGAGGGATGGGGTGACTAGTGACAGAGGGAGGGATGGGGTGACACAGTGACAGAGGGAGGGATGGGGTGACACAGTGACAGAGGGATGGAGTGACTAGTGAGAGTGCGGGAGTGGGTGACTAGTGACAGAGGGAAGGATGGGTTGACTAGTGACAGTCACCACCTCCCTCACTCTGTCACTAATCACCATCTCCCTCTGTCACTAGTCACCCCCTCCCTCATTCTGTCACTAGTCACCCCCTCCCTCATTCTGTCACTAGTCACACCCTCCCTCACTCTGTCACTAGAGTGAGGGGATGACTGGTGACAGAGTGAGGGAGGGAGTGGGTGACCAGTGACAGAGGGAGGGAGGTGGTGACTAGTGACAGAGGTGGTGACTGTCACTAGTCACTAGTCACCATCTCCCTCACTCTGTCCCTAGTCACCCCTCCCTCTGTCACTAGTTACCCCTTCCCTCCCTAACTCTGTCACTAGTCACCCCCTCCCTCACTAGTCACACCCTCCCTCACTCTGTCACTAGTCACCCCCTCCCTCACTAGTCACACCCTCCCTCACTCTGTCACTAGTCACACCCTCCCTCACTCTGTCACTAGAGTGAGGGGATGACTGGTGACAGAGTGAGGGAAGGGGTGACTAGTGGCAGAGTGAGGGAAGGAAGGGGTGACTGGTGATAGAGTGAGCAAATGATTGGTGACAGAGTGAGAGAGGGGAACGACTAGTGACAGAGTGAGTTAGGGGGTGACTAGTGACAGGGTAAGGGACGGAGGGGGTGGCTAGTGACAGAAGGAGGTGGTGACTAGTGACAGAGTGAGGGAGGTGGTGACTAGGGACAGTCACCACCTCCCTCACTCTGCCACTAGTCACCCCTTCCCTCACTCTGTCACTGTTCACCCCCTCACTCTAGTGATAGAGTGAGGAAGGGGGTGACCAGTGACAGAGGGAGGGGTGACTAGGGACAGAGTGAGGGAGGTGGTGACTAGTGACCTGTGACAGTCACCACCTCCCTCACTCTGTCACCTGTCATCCCCTCACTCTGTCACTAGTCACCCACTCCCTCCCTCACTCTGTCACTAGTCACCCCCTCTCTCACTCTGTCACTAGTCATCACCTTCCTTACTGTCACTAGTCACACACTCCCTCTCTCTGTCACTAGTCACACCCTCCCTCACTCTGTCACTAGAGTGAGGGGGTGACTAGTGACAGAGGGAGGGGATGACTGGTGACAGAGTAAGGGACGGAGGGGGTGACTAGTGACAGAAGGAGGGAGGGAGTAGTGACAGAGGGAGGTGGTGACTAGTGACAGAGTGAGGGAGCTGGTGACTAGTGACAGTCACCACCTCCCTCACTCTGTTACTAGTCACGCCTTCCTTCCCTCACTCTGCCACAAGTCACCCCTTCCCTCACTCTGTCACTAGTCACCCCTTCCCTCACTCTAGTGACAGAGTGAGGGAGGGTGTGACTAGTGAGAGAGTGAGGGAGGGTGTGACTAGTGACAGAGTTAGGGAGGGAAGGGGTAACTAGTGACAGAGGGAGGGGTGACTAGGGACAGAGTGAGGGAGATGGTGACTAGTGACTAGTGACAGTCATCACCTCTGTCACTAGTCACCACCTCCCTCCCTCTGTCACCAGTCATCCCCTTACTCTGTCACTAGTCACCCCTTCCTTCCCTCACTCTGCCACTAGTCACCCCTTCCCTCACTCTGTCACTAGTCACCCCCTCACTCAAATGACAGAGTGAGGGAGGGTGTGACTAGTGACAGAGAGAGGGAGGGTGTGACTAGTGACAGTCACCCCCTCCCTCACTCTGTCACTAGTCACCCCTTCCTTCCCTCACTCTGCCACTAGTCACCCCTTCCCTCACTCTGCCACTAGTCACTAGTCACCACCTCCCTCACTCTGTCACCAGTCATCCCCTCACTCTGTCACTAGTCACGCCTTCCTTCCCTCACTCTGCCACTAGTCACCCCATCACTCTAGTGACAGAGTGAGTGAGGGTGTGACTAGTGACAGTTAGGCAGGGAAGGGGTGACTAGTGACAGAGGGAGGGGTGACTAGGGACAGAGTGAGGGAGGTGGTGACTAGTGACAGTCACCACCTCCCTCACTCTGTCACTAGTCACCACCTCCCTCCGTCACTGTGTCACCCCCTCCCTCACACTGTCACCAGTCATCCCCTTACTCTGTCACTAGTCACCCCTCCCTCACTCTGCCACTAGTCACCCCTTCCCTCACTCCCTCACTCTGTCACCTGTCACCCCCCTCACTCTGTCACTAGTCACCCCCTCACTCTAGTGACAGGGAGAGGGAGGGTGTGACTAGTGACAGTGAGTAAGGGTGTGACTAGTGACAGTGAGTAAGGGTGTGACTAGTGACAGAGAGAGGGAGGGTGTGACTAGTGAGAGTGAGGGAGGTGGTGATTAGTGACAGAGGGAGGAATGGGGTGACTATCACTGTGTCACCCCCTTCCTCACTATGTCACTAGTCACCCACTCCCTCCCTCACTCGGTCACTAGTCACCCCCTCTCTCACTCTGTCACCAGTCATTCCCTCACTCTGTCACCAGTCATCCCTTCCTTCCCTCACTCTGCCACTAGTCATCCCTTCCCTCACTCTGTCACCAGCCATCCCCTCACTCTATCACCAGTCACCCCTTCCTTCCTTCACAGTGACAGAGTTAGGGAGGGAGTGACTAGTGACAGAGAGAGGGATGGGGTGACTAGTGACAGAGTGTGGAAGAGGGTGACTATTGTCAGAGGGGGTGATTAGTGACAGAGTGAGGGAGGGGGTGACACAGTGACAGAGTTAGGGAGGGAGTGACTAGTGACAGTCACCCCCTCCCTCCCTCTGTCACTAGTCACTCCCTCCCTCTGTCACTAGTCACTCCCTCCCTCTGTCACCAGTCATCCCCTCACTCTGTCACCAGTCACCCCTTCCCTCCCTCACTCTGCCACTAGTCACCCATTCCCTAACTCTGTCACTAGTCACCCCCTCTCCCTCCCTATGTCACTAGTCACCCCCACTTACTGTGTCTCCCCCTCACTCTGCCACCACTCAACCCCCCCCTCCCTCACTCTGCCACCAGGTACCCCCTCACTCTGCCACCTGTCACAACCTCCCACACTCTTCCACCTGTCACCTTCTCCCTCACACACTGTCACCTGTCACATATGCATTCACACAGACACTATATACAAAAAAAAGCACATGTAGTCATCCCGACATGCACAAGTGCATTCACACAGACTCAAATACAAACATGCATTGATACACAGGTCTTCACAATATACACATCCAAAGGAATGCTGTATTATGAGTTATATTTAACATTTATTTAATGCACATATATTTGGCCTTCAAAGGGCCTGGGATCTAATTTTGCCCGGGGGCCCCAAAGGCTCTCAGTCCGCCCCTGATACCCTTAGTTGGCCAGCTGCATGATTGGCAGGCAGCCTGACATGCATTCATACCAGGCTGGCCTTCTAATTCTTTGGGCATGTTCGCCCTTTTGGCAGGTTACGTGATTTGTGTCAGTGGCACACCCTTTTACCGTGCCCATTGACTTCCTGCTTACTGGACACTGCTGTTAGGGGTTATGGATTTACTTGAAATATGAAAACATAAATTAGTGATAGATTAGCCTAGGGTATGTGTTTTCTTATAGCTGCTGTTTTCTTTCTCTCCAGCACCATCTCCATCAGATACATGATGCTTGGGAGTGTTTTACTGTTTTTGGTCGATATGATTCTGTAATTAGGCCCGTCATAATTGTCAGCACCAGGCCCACTGGGCTCTTAATCTGGCCCTGCCTTTATGTATGTTTCTGTATGTATGTCTCTGTATGTCTATATATGCCTGTATATCTCTGTATGTATGTCTCTGTATGCATGTATGTAACTGCATGCCTCTGCATGCATGTATGTAACTCTGTATGCATGTATGTAACTGCATGCCTTTATGTCTCTGTATGCCTGTATGTCTCTGTATGTCTATATATGCCTGCATGTCTATGTATGTATGTATGTATGTATGTATGTATATTTCTGTATGTCTCTGTATGTATGTTTTTGGATGCCTGGATGTCTCTGTATGTACTATGTATGTATGTATGTATGTATGTCTCTGTATGCCTATATGTCTTTGTATGTATGTATGTGTCTGTATGACGGTATGCCTCAGTATGCATGCATGTATGTGTCTGTCTGTCTCTGTGTGTATGTATGTATGTGTCTGTTTGCCTATATGTCTTTGTATGTATGTCTCTGTATGCCTATATGTATGCAGGGACGTATTAGCCGCGAGGCAAACAAGGCATTTGCCTTGGGCGGCATTTTTCAGGGGGCGGCAAAAAACGCCGCCCCCCAAATGCCCAGGGCAGATGCCTTGTTAGCCTTGCGGATAACTGACATCCCGGGCGGCCGGCGAGGGAGCACTTCCCATGAGCTGACTGCTCAGCTCCCTCGCGCACCGCAAAGTGAGGCTGGGAGCCGGAAGATGACGTCATCTTCCGGTTCCCAGCCTCACTCTGCAGCCGACGCGCGAGGGGGCTGAGCAGTCAGCTCATGGGAAGTGCTCCCTCGCCGGCCGCCCGCCCTGCCAGCGCCGCCCGCCCTGCAGCCACTGGACCACCAGGGAGAGAGACCCCCCCCCAGCACTCCCAAAGGTAAGGAGGTTGGGGGGGGATTTAAATAAAAAAAAAGTTAATGTGTGTGTGTGTTTGTGTCTGACTGTGTGTGTGTTTG